CAATGAATCAATGAATGAATGAACGAATACATATATAGATGATCATGTTTTCCATGAATAGACGTGTTCACATATAGAAAAACCACACCACCTGGGCACCTGGTTGCCTTTATGTCCAGTGGAACCTTGCCTCCAAAAGAGACAAACTTCCAAGGTGCTTGAAGCACTTGAGCTTGAAAATGGACTTGTCTTCTTCTTCATGTTTGGGGGGTGGGGTGGGGGGGGTCAGGATTCAATCTTCCACATAAAACTGTCCATACGTTTGAAACACGAATGTTGAATCCATGACTGTGGCCTCGGATGCAAGTTCTGGTATCAATAAAGGCTGTAAGCAGATGAAAAAATGCTCGCAACTCTGTGCAAATACCAAGTATTGCACCATATTTGTTCAAAGGATGTTATTCATGCGATGCAAGTGTCCCCAATATGGACAAGGGGCATCCAAAAACAGCCCTTCAGACATGCAATTATCTGAAACATTCACCTGATGATGACCTTGTCAGGCCAAAGATCTCCCATGCCTAGGAACCAAATCACGTCTTGGAACAGTCCAAAGCATTTCCAAAAGTCTCTGCCGGCACCAGCTGCCAACAGTTACTTCTCTTGGGCCATCCGCTGCAAAAGCTCGCCAGGTTTGGTTTTGTCAGACCAGCAACTCGGTGCTCCCAACTTTGCGGTTTCTATCCGACTCTCCGCCCACCTGCCGCTCGCTCGGCCGCTTCGGGGCGTCCATGGCGCCATCCAAGAGCGCTGGCTGCAAAGCGACAGGAAAAGCCGCGGAAGCCGCAAGTGTTCTATGCAAGAGTCGGTTTGACGGATCTGGAGGTCTCTTGGGAGTTTACCACCTTTTTGAGGTTTTAGAAGAAAACCAAAAGGACAACCCACTATGTGAAGCTTCATTTGGGCAAGGACTGATGGAACAAATCAGTCAAGTGATGGGAAGTTACCTCCAAACCATCACCATCCACTACAACAGGAGCATGTTGCTTCCCATCAAGGGTTCTGCTTTTGAGGTTCCTTGTTGATCCCATTCAATTTGTCCACAATGCCAACCAAGGAAAAGCAAGCAACTTGGGCAAAATCACAACATGTCCCCATTGCCGGCAAATGGCAAGAACCTGCCCTTCCGAGTCTCCTTCACTCGCTCGCTCGTTCACTGAGGAGTGAACTGTAGGGATTAAGACGTGCGATCACGGTCTCCGCGGTCTCTTCTGCCAGCTCCTGTGCAGCATTTTCCAAGGGCGCACGCAGCCAAAGGCAATTCATGTTCACCTGATGCCTTGTTCGACTGTCATAACGCATTTGGAGTGCTAGGCCATTGCAAGCCAGCCGTAATGGGCCCTTGAACAGAAGTGGTTGCCTGGGTCACCGTCCCCTTGGAATGAGGCATGTCCACGTGGTGGCGCAACAGCACATGGCAGACCTGCACCTCCCTCTGGCGGCTGCCATACTTCTCCAGTATGCCAGGGATGTTTCGAACCTCCGAACCCATTTCTGTCAAGGAGCCGAAGTGCTCACACAAATGACTTCCGCTTTCTCCCTCCTCCCAAGTGGGGTGTTTCTCCAGGAAAATCCAAGCTGAGTGGTGAGCAATCCGCTGCCTCCATCAGCTTTCACAGGAAACACGAGCAGTGCCGCACCCAATGCATTGCGCCCCTGGGGCTGGCGCCAGGAAAGGCTCCGAAGCCTCAGCACCAGGCGCGGCACTTGGTTGTAAGAAACTCACTCCGACGGAAGCCAGAGATGGCAAGATGAGGCTTGAGGGACTCACAAGTCATCCCCGCACCAGGAGCCAGGCTCTGCCCACCTCGTGCAGATTCATCATCCCTGGAGAGCCAAGAGTGCAAAACGGTCCAGTGGCATGCTCAAACGCTGATTGCAAACACGTGTCTTCTCATGCCACCCTGCCCTCTGGGATGCCTATGGATCATTGATCCAAATCATCTATGGACCACTTGCCCCTCTTTTCCCTCAATCGACATTGGGCAACTAAGCTGTTCTCTCTGTCTCCCTCCGCGTTTGGAGCTTTCCCTCGGCAGTTGCCTTGCAGGGCCGTGAGGCTGGTGGAGGAGTCGCGCAGTAGCACCTGAACAGGTGTCGCTGCTTCGCAGCTCCCGCGCGAGTTTCGGCCCGTTCAGAATTCTCATCAAGACCAAGAGAGTCGTACCATCCGAGCATGAGGCTCTTTTAGAGGAATTGGTCTTGCAGAAGGGCTATAGTTTGTCAAGAACTAAAGCATACATATGAATTGTGTAGATTCATTGACGCCAAACCAGTTGACAAACAGTAAGGCGGGCAAATAAGAAAAGTCTTGGAAGCAGGTGGAGCTACTCCAATGACCCTTAGGGTGACAGCTGCAGTTGTCAATCCGTAAGTTATCAAATCCGGCCCCAAGGAAACACAAGTTGCCCTGTGCTTTCCCGGAGAAGAAAATGCATCACGGGCCGAGCGTGTCTTGGAAACATGGGCGATGGTTGGGGTGGGGGGATGATTGTATATCAGTACCAGCAAGTTGCCCTGTGCTTTCCCGGAGCCAAGCATGCTGCAATTGTCAGGCCTTCAAGCGTTTGTGTCTTGTTGCGAGCCAGCTGATCACAGTTCGAGCTGATTTCTGAGGTTGCCTCTTGGGAAATATGCTGGCCAGAGACGAATATGAATGTGTGTCAAAATGAGCGTGTTCCTTCCAGTAAAGTACGTCATGCTGCCAGTCCAGTGGGGAACGGCGCAAAAAGGTTCAGACCCTGATAAAATGGAGCAACAAATTGTCTGCAGCCGTGAAACGTTCGAATTTATCTTACGAGTTCACGGTGCCAAGCCAGGATGATGTGGGGTCAAAAAGCAGCAGGGCCCAGATTCAACAAACTAACCTCGTCAATGTGGATTGTCAGTGGTTGTTGTCTGTGTGGCAACTGGCTTTTTACATGAGGCTCGGTGGTTGGTGTTTACTGGTTGGCTGGTGGTAGGTGATGTCTGCCTATAAGGCTGTTGGTGCGGTTGTGGTGGTTTGGATGCTTGTCTGTTTGGATATTGAGCAATGTTTGCGGGCCGCTACAGTGCTCCTTTGGGTGGTGGTGGTCAATATGATTGCTGTGGTGGGGTTTGGTCGATGATTCTTGCAAACTCGCATGACGAGGCCAACCGGCGCGCCAGCTGCTTTCCTTTTGAGTGGGGGCTTATCTAGTGCACTTTCCAAGTTCCGCAAGAATCAATGCGAGTCAAGCTATTTCGGTTCGCAGCACATCCGCGCCTTCAGTGCTGCGCTGACAGCTGCGCAGGCCTGGTGCTTGGTTCCCTCTGCGACATGCCCCAAAAAGGCTCGTGCCTGAATCGGGCGGCAGGCAGCTGCCACCACTTTGCCGCACCCTTTGGCCTCACACATCCCACACGCACTGGAAAAAGTAGCAGGGAAAGACTTGCCATCCTGGCGTCACAGACGTGCAATGCTTTTTAGGTCCTTGGAATCCGACGGCATCAGCTTGGCCGGTGGCAAGCTGCTGCCTGGCCAGTGGCGCGTGCGAGTAGCCATCTGTTTGGCTAGATGGCTACTGCAACAGGCTACGGGGCTACGGGGCTACGGGGGAGGGAGCAATATTCAGGGAATCAACACCTTGGGCCCTTGGGCCCCCTTTGGCATTTCTTGTCTCTCCACCTGGCCACATTCCAAATTCCAAATCGGATGTAAGACGGGCCCAGGCCGCAGCAGCTGCTTCATCGGTGGACCTCGCAGAGGCCAAAGACTTGTACTTCTCATGGAACAGCAACTTCCAAGCTTCAGAGGCTCGGACTGTGTATCACCGACATCTTTTCTCCTATCGGGAAAAAACAACTTCCTGCGTTTTCGGGGCCCTTGGACAACCAGGTCTCATCAAAACACCCTGCAAATCAAAACTCTGGCGTCATAGCGGTTTTCAGACAACTCCGCCCGGGAATGCAGAGTCTGATCTGTGATTGGGTCTGCAACTTCTGTCTGCGGTTGGATGCTTGTTCATTGGACGTCTGATGCATTGCGTGCGCAGCACAAACGTACCTGGCGAGGTCGCCACAGTTCGGGCACATCGCTTGCAGAAGCTTGGTTGCTGAACTGAGCCATGAATTTAGCTGCAAAGCCCTCCCACGCGACATCTCTCTCCCTAATTTCGGCACCAAGCCAAAGGGCTTGTGATTCCACTCCACATTCCATCCAACCGTCGCTCTTGCCAATCAAACGCTCCCACTGCCAAGCGAAACACCTTCAACCTGCCCCCTGCCCCCCTCCCCAACAGCTCCTCCCGGCGGATCGATCTCCTCTTCCAACTCGCGATCGCTCGCTGCTTCGGCCTCAGACTCCACGGACTCCTCCTTCGGCACACGGGAGATGGGGTGAAGAAACATGTGTTGAATGCCCAAAAAGCCTGTGCCCCAACCGAACCCCAACTCAGGGTCAGCAGGTTGTGTCCCAATGCCAACCTTCTTTTGGAAGCCAAGATTTTACCACTGGTGACCTGATGCAAATCGCCTCGCCTCCGGTGGGTGCTCGGCTGAAGGCAAGTCACCTGAACAGCTGAACCCTTTGCTGTTCACAGGACTGCGTGCGCTTTGTTTGCTGGCCAGTTTCCATCCAACACCAGGCCCAAAATCCGCCGACCCCTTCTGCTTCTCGTTCTCAAGTTCATTCCAGAGGGGAGCGCCGTCGTACGCAACCTGATAGCGCCGTTTGGCTTTGTGACTTCTAGCGAAATCAACTCGCGTATCAGCAAACAATAGCCTGTCCCCACAAAATGTAAAACTACGCGTTGGGCGAGCTGTGATGTTTTACTTGTCCTGAGTCGCCCGAGCAACGGGACGGGGTTGGACTAGCTGTGAACTTTTGCCCGTCCGCGTTTGTTTACCCGTCCTGTTTTGTCCGGGAACTGGGACGGGTTGTGCAAGCTGTGGCTTCCTACCCGCCATCCTCATTGGCCAGGAAACGTCATGGGTTGGGCAAGCTCTGTTTTTTGCGACGCGTTGGAAGCGCTCTGCTTCTTGCCCGTCCTGATTTTCCCCGCAGATTTGACGAGCTGCTAGTCCTGACTTGCCCGTTGGACGAGCTGCGATTGATTGCCCGTCCTGATTTGCGCGGGACGAGCTGCGACATGTTACCCATCCGGGTGTATCCGGGTTGGGCGAACATGTTTTGCTCGCTGCTGCGGCCGGCTGCGCGTCACCACTATAAACGCGGCCGTGGCCACAGCCATGGGGCCAACGGCTGCAATGGATCCTTCCCCTGAATCCACAGGAGCAAGGCGCTAGAGCGACGCCCTATAGCAGCCTGCCACCTTGCGCTGGCATGCGGCTGGGGGCTCCGCGAAGACTAAAATGATGAGCATGACCTGCATGATCTGCTTCGAGTTTTTGCGTCGGCTTTGAATCTGCAACCTTAGGGTTTGCCCTGGTAACGCGGGTGACGCGGGTGATGCTGGGGCTGCCAATCTTGCAGTTGGGGCTTTGCCCTCGAAACACTGAAACAAAGCAAGGCGTTCGACGCTGAACGCTGGAAAAACACATGGTTTTGACGAGGCTGACCCAGATTGCTTTGCGTGGCAGCTGCCTCGCCCTGAGCATTGCAAAGACGCAGCCTGCGCTAGCGAAACCGCGGCAAAATTTGCTGAAGCCCACGTCGTCCCAGAGCTTCAACGCGCTGCAGCCAGACTTCTTGCGCAAAAGTGTGCTGCGCAACGCTGCCTGTGTAAGCGATTGTGCGTCTCGCGGATCAATTTCTTGCACCGGGTTTGCTTGCAAAGGCGCTGCTTGCTTGGGTTCGAACATCTTAAGGACCAAAAGCTAGCAAATATGAAGTTCAACGTCGCGGCGCTGCCACGACCTGTTGTGCCGCAGCAACTTAAATAGCTATGCAAAAATTGGTAGGCCCCGGGATTTTCTTCTCAAGTTAATAAGTTGTTCAAGAAACAAGCAGGGACTCAGGCAGGGAAGAGGCGCATGTCCCAGGCACTGCAGCATCTTGCCCAGTCCCTTCCCACGCCTTCGACGTCTGCTGTCTGTTGAACCTGACTGGCAGAGGTGCTGTAGCAAAGTGAACGTGGTGCCTGCGTTGAAGTTCTGCTCAAGACTATTCAAGACCTGCAAGAGGACTTTTTCGCCCAAACGCACTGACAAATGATTGCCTCGCTGTCAGATTGATCCCTAAAGAAAATGGCAACATGTTGGGCCGCTCAGATTCGAGTTCCTGCCAAGCCTTTAGCCAAATCAACCGAAACACCTTTGGGAGTCTTTGATCTACTCATTTGTTCTGCTGACGCCGTGCCTTACGGATCTCCGGCAGCAAGTTCTCCACAAGCTTGTCCTGCGTTCCATAAGGCGCGGTGGCAATGGACATCCATATTTCATGAAATGAGCACGGAGGTTTCTGCAATGACTCCAAGTTTGCGGATGACAAATGATGCTCCGTGACTGATCAACTAGGCATGGTTAGGCTGTCTGACCGCCAACGCGGCACATGTTCTGCGGGGCCCCGCAACGCAACACTGCCAGCGGTCACTGCAATTCAAGTCTCCTCCGCACCACCTGTCATGCTGAAAAAGGAATACAGACCATGAAAGTGGCAACAGTCTAACCTGCGCGGGACGGCTACCAAATCAAACAAGCCAGCTGCGGCTGCTGTCCGCCTCTTTGTTTTTGCCTCAATCCACAACATGCGCTGTGCAGTAATGTCTCCACCCCTATGACCGGGTAGTTGCCCGGAGACAAGTGGATGATGCCTTCCAAAGGGGTGACACAGGTTGAATGACCCTACCGCCCAAACCAAGCGACGACAACTTCCTACCCGACATCTTGTTCCTCGTCGATTTCAAGGCGAGGGTTCTTGAGGTTCCTGGCTATTTTCGCAACATCCACCTCGCTCAGCCCGCCGCGCCGCTTCTGAAACCGATTGGGCCGTGGAGCAGTCGGCCTCAGGTAAGAAGTTGGCAAAACCACCATCCGATACCTTGGCAATTACCAATGAAAGGGGTGTTGTCGGCGCCCAAAAAACACCTCCCAAGACACGGACCTCGGATTGCCACAGCTCCCAAATGGCGGTAGATCCGAATGTGCAACTTTGATGCGGTTGATCCTGAAGAAGATGCTCAGACGCAAAAGCTTGGCTTGATGCGACTGTCAATGTTGTGTTGTGCCAAGCACATTAACTTGTTTCACAATTTAGACGAGCGCCAGTCGCATCGCAAGTGTCCGATGGCTCAGTTTTTCGCAGGGTCCCACGACCCGACTCTTCCAATGCTGATTCAGAGTCATAGCAAAGGGAGGCAGGGGAGGGTTGTAGCCCTTCATGCTCCGTAATAGTCCCCAATAGTCGCTGAACCAATACTCACAGAGCTGTCGCAATGACATGGTTGATGAGTAGGCTGCCGTGTTTTGGGCGGTTCAAAGGGAAATCCGGGAAACGACCCATGAAAACCCCCGGCTCCGATCCCCGAGGCACCCGGCCCTCCCCGCATCTCCGAGCGCGTGAGCCTCGGCACCTCGTCCGGCTCGGGGAAGTCCCTGCCAGGTTTCCGTGGCAAAGGATCCGAAGACCCTTCTGAGTGCGCGCATGGGCGTGTCTGTTTTTGAGGGGACCCAACATGGTGGTTGTCCTTTTGGTCTCCCTGTATCAACCAAAAGGGGATACCCTGAAAAACACACACACATGAAAAGATCAGCTTCCCCCTTGGTGGTTCGTTTTGGTGGGGTTAAGGGGAAGCGTAGACAGTTGGATGTAAAATCTGATCTACTTACTTTACGAAAGCAAAGACACCCTTTTGGGGTCCCGTGACACTTTGCAAAACGCCACTCGGGAATGAGAAGAGGTCGGACAAGTCCCTCTAAAGAAGTGGTGGCGGCGGTGGTGGAGGTTGTGGAGGTTGTGGAGGCGGTGGAGGCGGTGGAGGCGGTATGGTGGTGGCGGCGTCCTTTCGAAGCCCTTCAAGCAGCATCTCACGGCGATGGTTGGAGCAACATAGAGACAAGGCAAACTAAATGATGATTCAGCCTGGCCTCCTCAGATCAGGAGACACGGCCTCATTCTCTGGTGAGTGAAAGGCTTCCGAGATTGCCAAAGATAACAACATGGGCGTGTATTTCTGTAAGCCACAAAAACGGCAACGGTGTCCTTGTGGTTTCCCCTTACCGAAAAGAGTACCCGAAAAACAAGACGAGCCCATAGCCAGTCGAGTCCTCAGGCCCAGGCTCTCTGTCTCGGAGCCGGGGTGCCTCCAAGCCGAAAAGCAATCAGGCCTAGACCCAACTCGATGGTAGCAGACCCAACTCCATTGTGTAGCTTCAAGGAACATGGTTCCGCAAAATACTAGAAAGGAAAGAAAGGAAAAGACAAAACATGCCACCCCCCACCCCCCACCCCCCAAAACAATGATGATATAAATGAAAATGCCCTTGCTATGCAAAGTGACCATGGCTAGGCCGAACCGCCCCTAGAAAACACAGCAGGGCGAAATCATCGACGTCAACGAGTTTCGCGTTTGCATAGCCCGATGACAAAGCCCCACTTCAACAAGGCGGTAATACTACCAAGAATCAGCTCGCGCAAAATGATCCAAAATGAAAGGTTGAGCCAAGATCCTCAGGGAATCAAATACTAATCAAATCCTATGCGTCCGTATAGAAATTGCTTTGGCGCCGTCTCATTTAATGTTCTTCTCCTTTGCAAGGGGGGTGGTCGTTGGCAGGACTGGGCAAGTGCAAGTTGATCCTGAAAGGGACAAACTTGGAAGATTTGCTGCATCACGATGACCTTATGGTGTGAGTGTGTGTGTGTGTGTGTCTGTGTGCGTGCTCGTCAACGCTCTTGCGGTGTTGCGCCCTTAATTCCCCGAAAGCGGGGCCCTTTACCAAAACCCCACAGCCCGCTTTCAAGCATGTAAGCAGGCTTTTTGCTGTGGAGCCTGTCAATGGGTTGACCCTCCTGGGCAACATGTCACGACCTCCTGGGAGCTCGTTAAGCTTTCCACTAGGTTGGCACTCCTGGGCTGATAGGTTGACCTGCCTGGGCAAGAACGCATTGCTAAGTTTGCAAGTGTGTGTGTGTGTGTGCAATAACACGTCGCTGTACAAGTAGTCGCTCTGCATTTGTTCCCGGTGTTCATGTCAGTCCTTGCAAGTTGTGTTTTATTCTTGCTTACGCAACCTTCTTTGCCAGCCGCCTTGAATCACGGTCAAAGATGTTGTCATATTGTCAGGCGCGGCAGGAAACGCAAACCTTGAAAACTCAAACATAGTATCGCATCTTCCTTGTTCCTTCAAAGAGGCTGCATCTTCTCGCAAATCCTTGCTTATGTGTTCTCGGTTCGTACTGTTTTGTGTGTGTGTGTGTGTGTCTGTGTCTGCTGTATTGGGAAGCTGTTAATAGCAACTCGAGGTGGTGGTGTGGTGGTGGTGGTGGTGGTGGCGGCGGGGGCGGTGGCGGTGGCGGTGGCGGTGGCGGTGGCGGTGGCGGTGGCGGTGGCGGTGGCGCTGACGCTGCTGCTGCTGCTGCTGCTGCTGCTGCTGCTGCTGCTGCTGCTGCTGCTGGTGGCGGTGGCGGTGGCGGTGGCTGTGGCGGTGGCTGTGGCGGTGGCGGTGGCGGTGGCGGTGGCGCTGGTAGTAGGAGTACCGACAAACGTTCTCATTTACATGGCTCAATGTCTCTCCTTGCTCAACGGACACCACGTAAATAATATAACAAAGTCATCGTTTTCCTTGTCGCTGCGTGGCGAACACGAAAGATGTGTGCGACTCTTTACGTTCATATCAGTCTCTCACCCGTAGCGTCTGTCTTCTCTCGGGGTAGGTGTATGACTACTTGACTGATTGGCAGGTGCCCGGGCTGGTGCCCGCAGGACCCAGGACCCGCGCCTCCACGTCTCCTGGAGTTCCCCCTCGCGAGGCCTAGGACGGGCATGGCTCATGGGTCTCTGCAGGGCTTTCTGGGGTCGAAAGCTACGCGTTGCAGGTGTGTCCGAGCCACTCACGAGTGATACTTGGTGAACAGCGGAACTCGGACATTCCTTCTCTTGCATGACAACCATCCTTCCCTTCAAAGAGGAACGTTTCGATACAAAGCACTCAACTTATGGAGCGGCGGAGACTTGAATATAAGAACTGATGATAATGGCATTGAAACAACAAAACAAAACGGAAACAAAACGGAGCAAAAGCACGCCGCCGACCAACTGCGCGCCGGACCAGGCTCCTCGTTGCCCTTCCTCAAAAGCTCAGCCTGCCAAACGGGGCCCGGCGGCCCGGAAGCAAACGGCCCCCGGCTGCGATGGCACTGTGAGCACCTGGAATTCTGAGGGAGCGAAAAGTCAACCCTGACGCGGTATGCGCAATGATCCGATGCGCTAGCCCGCTTAATCATGAATTGTTACTTGTCGTCGACTTCTTTTGCCGCAAAAGGAGGTCACCCTGTCTTGTGCGTGTTTGTGTGTGTGCGCGCTCACATATGCGCATGCACCACCGAGCAAGATCACAATGCCTTCCTTTCGGAAGCGTTGGCTCTTCTGCCCAAGGCTGATAAAAAGGCCTCCCAGCCGTTGTCATGGAGGTGCAAAAGGATACGCTCCTCCTGGTTGCTCGCTGAGACTGGGTTGCCCAAATCAATGCCATGGTCCCCAACTGTTGGACAAGCATCCAACCAGGAGCAAGGTACGAAACGAAAATCCAGCCGGCTCCTTGACATTGACAGATTCGACGATCAGAGATACCAACAGGTCTCCAGGAAATGCCGGAAAATCCTGGATTGGCTCGCGGCAAACCGTCAAAACAAAAGGATCTCGATTCAGATTTTGAAAAGTGAGGAATTCGAGGATGCAAACCGTTCAAAGCCGACAAAGCCACTTCTTGCTGAATCTTGGGAGTGGTGCAAATTACTTGGCGCAGCATTCCCCAAATCAAAGCCAAGCGTGTCTGTTAATCCCTCGAAGGCAAGTGGACCCGCACAAGTTCAGCATGAATGCATATAGCGGAGAGATGAGGGGCACTCGCACAATGCCTCGTGCTGCATGCACTGAGCTTAGACGCAATCAGGCTGGCAGCACGATCTCTGAGTGCGGAAGCAGGCCCTGGCTCGACACAGCTTAAAGCTCAAGACTTGCACATGACACCGGGAAGTGCCTGAACCATGCAACCGAAGTCGATCATAACACCCTCCTGGCAGCTTCGATTTTTAGCGACCACACTCATCAGACAGTGCACCAGCTCTCGTCCTCTGCGAAGCAGGTCACCTCAGCACACGCGAGGCCAGTGACCTGTTGAATCTTGCGCTGCCGAGCAAGCATCCAATTCCCACTGCAACAGTCCTCACCCTGCGAGTCAACTAGGTCAAGGACAACGCATGACTCTGATCAGTTCCAGATGATGGCTGAGGGTACCCACTTCTTCCTAAAGTTGCAAAGCAACAATGCGACGTCCACAAAGGGCAACCTGGCAGAGGTGAATCAGAATCAACACCATAAGACTGGTCTACCCAGAAAGTGCAGAATTACAAAGGCAATGCAACGAATTTAGTGGGATTCTCCCTCATCTCCCGTGTTGACTGTGGCACAGGAATCAAACGGAAGGCCCGAACCTCGCGCCGGCTGGGCTTTCCGGGCCCTACCCTGGACCAGCTCCCCCGACTGCACCTTGCCGATGGCTCGCCTCGCACGCGTTGCGGTGCCTCTCCCCCAAAAGCCTTAGGTGCAGTCCACTTCCCCAAACCAAGAGGATACGGGCATGTCTCTTTTTGAGTGTACCCTTCTTGGGGTGGTTTAAAGGGGAACCAAGGGGACAATCACAATTTTGGGGGTCCCTTTTTTGAGAAACTCCCATATGGTCCTTGTAGCCCCTTTGATAAAGAGTATATGCCCGGGTAGTGGAAAAAGATAGAGCGGGCGAGAGACTCTGCACGGTCGTCGTGCCTTCCAGAAAGTAAAGCCGCATGTAGTTGATTTGTAGCATGTACTATATAGACTATGGAGAAGACAAATGCTCATACATAAAATGTATATACGCAAAGAAATGTGGCTTCTAACGGAAAACTTCTGCTAGGATGTCCCTCCCTCTCTGTCCTTCCCTCTCTCCCCCTCTCTCTGTCTCTTGCGGACTCAGCTGGCTGCCATTTCGATCGAGGCCGCGAGGGGAGGGAACCTGCACCCCCAGCCGAAAATGCACGGCGCGCCGTATACATTCCCACACGTTCCCTCCTCCGGACTCCATCTGCGCTCCTGATCCGACAAGGCCAGGCCCGCATGCATAGCTTCACAACCCATTTCAGATCTGCTTCATAGTGAGAAGCACAGAGTTGTCCATTAACTTCTCTAAATCACGCTCCTCACAGTTAGAGACTGATTTTTCTACGTTCTCAGCAAGGTGCATGACAGCTCCTCGCTCTGGTCGCTCTGGTCGCTCTGGTCGCTCTGGTCGCTCTGGTCGCTCTGGTCGCTCTGGTCGCTCTGGTCGCTCTGGTCGCTCTGGTCGCTCTGGTCGCTCTGGTCGCAAGGTGGATGACGCCTGCCAAGTAAGTGCCTCTTTTCTTCAACGCTTAACCCTCATCCGGCGCCTGCTCCCAAGCTGACGCGGCCTGCACCTCGTCGGCTTGCATACGGGCCGAATCGAAAGCTGAGCACGGAGAACTGCTGATTGATGTGTAGGGTGTGCTCACGGAAAATCTCTAAAGCAGCCGCGCTACAAAAACAAACATGAGCCGCCCCCAAATTGCCCCCTACCACATGGCTCATGTTGCTCCCACGCCTTGGGCCTTTCGGCGTCTGGCGCCCACAGGCCTGCCGGGCAACGGGGCTCGAGGCGTGTGAGGCCGTGGCGAACTGAAAAAGAAAAACTAACAGGCCTCTCTCGGCTCCTGACACCAGGAGACCCCGACGCTTTGAGATGTGACAGGTGTTTCCACTTGGCAGCTTTGTCGTTTTCAGCTTCAACGTGAGCCGAAAGGAAAGCGCAATGTGGGTTGGCCATTACAGCTGATCTGGTCCCTATCCTCACTGTGGGAAAGCAGTCCAGGTTCCATGATGTTGCCTTCTGCCTGCATGATGTGTCTGGGGGTCAGTGGGCCGGCAGAACCTCTCAGCGTTTCCCAGTCCTTTCCCCTTGCCGCCAGGAGGCTTGCTTTGAGCCCTTCCTCACGGGGAAACAGAAGCGCAGCATGGCTCATTTCAAACTTGATCGAATCGCGGGAAATAAGTTGGGCTCAAAAACCAGAAAACAGGAGGGGCAACGGGCAATCCGAGTACCCCATTGCCCTTCAAACAGCCTTTACATGCAAATCGAGGTCCGGAGGCCCGCTCGCCAGCGCTCCTGTAGCCAGCGTGACCTCCACGGGTGTGCGCCTGCACCCAAGCTTTGCGACAGCCAAATGCAAGTTCCGAATTCGTTGTTTTGCCTTGTAACATCACGTGCAGGCTATGACCATATTTGGTGATGTCTTGTGTTGTGTTGCCTTGTGTTGCGCAGCGTGTTGCATTACATCATGCCACACTGCGGCGGGTTTATCTCCTTTTTGAAACATCTCTAACCATGGTGCATGCAGGGGCAGAGACCATCGTTTCATTCGCACACTCCGAGTTTCATTGCGTTCCATCGCATTGCATTGAGTTGCATTGCATTGCTTTGTTTTGTTGTGCTGTGTTGTGGCTCTGTGAAGCGTCGAGCTGTGTCGTCTTGTTGTGTTGTGTACTGGGATGCTGTGGATGAGTTGATTCTTGGCCGGCACTGCGCACGGAGTCACGTTACATTGTGTTGTGCTGTTTGGTGTTGCGCAACGGGTACCGTTGAGTGAGTGTGCTGTGCTATGGTGATTTGTATGGCAAGCACTATGGTATGCTATGTAATGGTCGGGCATGTCATGTTGCGCTGTGCTATGCTGTGCAATGTCACTGTATATTCTGCACTATCATACCAGATTCTGCTTTTCTTCGCCACCCTTTGCTCTGAACATGAGAAACACCATTAGAATATGTTCACAAGCCCAATGCGCCCGATCTGGAGACTTCGGCAACTCCTTTGCACAAGAACCCACCCTTGCCCTCAAAGAGCATTGAATGGCTCATGGCTCCGATTCGGTTCACTCCGCAGACATGTTTTCTTTTCGATTGGGTTGCCTCACACATCAACACAGACACGCAATCACACAAGCAAAAGCAAGCAAGCAAACAAGTAAACGCTACACACACTACAGATACTACAAACGCTGCAAACACTACAAACACACCGCTTGCGTGGATGCTTCGTTGTTTGACTCCCTCCTTTGATCAACCGCTCGCTGGGGCCGCCGCAGCTTCACCGCCGCCCGGTCGTAGCCTCCAAAATTGTCTCAAACGTTGGGAGGTGTCAGGGTACGACTTGAAACTTTGAGGCGTGCAATCCCCGTTTGCATCTGCGGCGATGCGGCAAAAGGGACAATTCGCGGATCCAGTTGTACAAAAGCAATGAAAATGATGAGGGTATGAGCGTGTCCGCCAGACTCGATTTGCCCGGGGTCATAGCAGACTCGTGGCCTGATAGCATTGCTCGCACGCATCAAAATGCCGAAACCCCGATTGTCCTTCAACCTCTTCTTCACCGCGAATCGTGGGCAATCCCGAGATCCATAGAGTCCCCGTAGCACTCTGTAAATCAACCCGTACTATCCCCACACATGCGGCCCCCCACGTAGATCACACGGGTCGGTGCTAAAAAAGTGCGGCCTGAGCGGATTATGGTTAATAACTCAATCGTCACGTAATTTGCTGCGGTACGCAGTCGACCCTCTGCAGTGGCATGTACAAAGACAAAACAAAGCCAAAAGGACACACAACTTCTTCGGCGCCGCGCGCGCGACCTCGATGCGTGAGAACCATGTCTTGTGTGTGTGTGTTTGTGTGTGTGTCACGCGCCGTGCGGGGGTCGATTTACAGGAATGGCGAAGCTGGGTCGACCTGTGGCGCCAGAACTGTTACCGCGCTCCGGAAAAAGAAAAAAAAGAGTTTGACTTTTGCACATCTGCGTGCAGTATCTACCAGACTAATCGCGTGCCGTCTCAAAAAACTGATTCTATACAGTTTGAAGTTGTTGAAGGCGAGTCTTCTGAACAAGAACAATCGATCGTCTCTCTAAGAGTGACACCTCCCTGAGCGATCTCTCTGTGACGTGACATCTTCGATGACATTCAATCTGCTTGAATTGCAAGCGTCAACACCTGGAGCCCGAGCATGACGAGAGGTACGCCCTAGCTGCTGGAATAAAGCTTATTGTGGAGAACGCACCACGAGTGCGATTTAGAGACTCGTCTCAAACTTGAAGTTGCACGGGTGTTGCCTATGGTCAAATGTGGCAACTGTTACAAGCCTTAGATGGTTGATTTATCTTTATACGCTCATGTTTGTTCTGCTCTTAAAGTGGTTTCACTACCTTTCTTAAATTGTCGTGCTTTGATTTGCCAACACTTGGAATTCAACAAACCCTCCAAGCAAAAGCGGGCAAACAACTGCCCCAGCCCTGCACAAGTTGCCCACTTTCTGCGAAAAACTGGGCAGCCAGTTCCGGGTGCGAATCTCAATTGCGGCCCTGGACATCAATTGGGGATTCGTGTTCGACCACTGAGATGGTCCCCACTCCTCAAATTCGATAGCATCTTTCAGGGTGTTGTCTTCCCTCTACCCTCTCCACCTATTTTGCCGGCCTTCTTCCGGCACTGATCTCGAGCGGGCTTTCCTCAAAGCCGGAAAGTTGGATGGGATGGCGTCGAAAGGCGAAGGCCCAGGTGGGGAGTCAATTGAACATGAAATGGTGGCTCAAAAATCGCGGCCAAAATGGACCCTGGATGGAAAGCTTGACAAAAATCTGCGGTCCCCTGGCTCTTAGATTTTGAACAAAATGTCCTTTTGGTTCTCTGGAAAAGACCAGCTGAGCAACAGCGCATCTTGACAGGCTTCACCAGGGACCTGGCCCGGCATCTTTGGCCCGGGCGCGAGGCGCCTCGCAAAACGGATGGCCGGAGTAGGAAATACGAGCCCAGAACTATACCTGAGAAACTTGGGTTGTCTCGCGGCACTTGAGTCTCCTAGCCCAGCAAAGATTGGGTGGTGCCCTTTTTAGCGTGAGGCGTTCGGATCATGCCCCGGTGTCCTATGTATTAACTTGAATAGGGTCCGTCGTGAGCTTGGTCCCAGGTTGGGCACGGTGGCCCAGAGACATGCATCATGAGAACTGCGATCCCAGAATCATCTTGGTTACCGCTCACCAGCTGCCGAAATTGGATGATACCTAACTATGGAGTCTCGGTCCTTCCATGGGAAGATGGCGCTGCTTGCAGTGCTCTGGGTTTCTTAGGTGCTGCATGCTGCCAACCAGGGTCCATTTGGGCTCCAAAACTGGGTGGCCCTACGGCTGACGACTCTTGCATGTTTCCTTGAATCCCTTTGATGGCCTTGCCAGGAGACATCCACGGGTGCGTGGGTGCCTGTCCCGATGTCTCCCGGCCGACTGCCTGCCTCCGCCTTGCTCGCTGCCTGGCGACCGGGCGTGGCGACTTCCCACGAGATGGACGTGACTAACGAGCCCAATTACACACCGGCACAACCTTTGGCCCTGAACCCCATGCTGAAACGGTGCTGCAAACACGCGCCCGATGGCGCGGCGCTCGCTGTCGCATCTAACCAACTGCTTACTACAGTGGATTCCCAACAAGACCAGCGCTTGCGCAGATGAACCTTTGAAGACTGAGGAACTTAACTTTTCCAAGTATTCAGCGCTTCCCGAATTCCTCAGTCAGGATGCACACATGTGTTGTCGGAATACCATAAAAACTTAAGAAGGATTCATCACAGTGTCTAGCGTGCCGCATTCCGAGTTTTGAGACTTGCTTATCTGGGCTTCCTCATCAAATTCCAAATCCCCCCGCTTGAAGTGCGGTTTTGAAAGTTCCACCACCAGTTAGCCTCTCCCTCGCGAGTTCGCCCGAGCCTTTCTTTTGGGCGCTGAGTCAGCCTGCGGAGCCGACGTGTCATAAAGTGGATAAGGAAAGCCAAAAGGAACTGTTTCTTTTTGACGTCAACTCAGCAACCGCCATGTGGTTTCTGGGCGGGTCAACTGGGGGACTCGCGACAAAGCAAGTGACGGGTGACAAAGAATCTGCAAGTTTGCTCCATATGTGGGAAGTGGTCGACCTGAGGGCTAGCAAAGCAGTCTGCCTCTGTCGGGGCCTTTGCTCTTCTCTTCGGATTCGAGCGCCGCACTCCCTGGACCGCGGGTTGCCATAAGAAACTGGCCAAGGTCATCTGCCAACCCTTTCCTCAAGTGCAAGGGCCCATCATCTGCAAAACTCTGGTCATCTGCCTTTGCAAAGTTGACGAATGCATGCTTTACACGCTTGGATGGCCAATCCGCCAGCATGGCAGGCATGACCAGGCCTCGCTGGAAGGCTGGCTTGCCGGCTCCGTGCTCCAAAAAACGTCAGCCTGCCAGCGCACTGACATCTACTCTAGCTGCAACAGAAGAAATATCAAGCGAGAGATGGTGCTCCAGCCTCTGCTATCCTTTGATTCGTGATTGCTTCTTCCTGGGCTGGCAACCAGAACACTCGCCCCGCAGCCGCCGAAATTGCGGTCTTGCCCATTGGCACGTCACTCTCGTCAAGCCAAACCCCGTGTCCCCCCTCTCTGCCTCCGTTCCTTGGCTCAATGTCGGGGTCCAGGTGGTTGCATCCTCACCCTGGTTGCCAAATGTCAGGATCGCCAGGCAGCCCCTAAGTCAACTTATGACTCGATACTTCATGCCTCCTCTGCATTTCGTTGGCTCCCTGTAGTGGTGTCCTCCTCACAAGAGCAAAAAATAAGAAACACGTGACGCGTGCCCAAATCAAAAATTGGTGCCTGGATGTCCGGTTGCAGCCATGCACTAGCATCTCCAACCTGCACTGACCGCCAAATCACAAGACCAATGCAACAAAGCCATCCTACCATAACAAGCTCATAATTCAATTTGTGGATCAGCTGGCAGAACATCCAGTTTGGCTGGGTTGACTCACCCATGCAACATGTTCAAGCTGCACATGGCGGCCGAATCGAACACAATTCGAGCGCTCGGATCATGATTGCCACGAACTCCAAGCCTTTGACACTCCCATCCGACTCCAAAGTGGTTCCTTCGCCGGGATCTGCACTGCGAACGCGCCAGCTTCCAATCGCAAGACGATCCAGCCTCTGCCGTATCCGTAATTTCGGTGCTCCAAGCTCCGGCATCTTCATCCTGTCTGTTGCAAAGCGCCGTGCGTTCGAGCCAACTTCCCAAATGTCAGGCGGCATTCACTTCACACATCTCACATGGCCCAATGGCCCGAGCGTCAGGCCTGGGGCTCGCGACGAACGTGGTCGCAGTGATTAGCCCCTACCTGACCCAGGGCATCGTCTTTTGGCCTTGTTTGAGAATGCTACTGAGGGGCTGTGAAAGTAGATGGGCCATGTCCTGTTTATGTCTTCAAGTCAGGGAGATGTCCGAGTCTCTGATTTGGTGAAGTGTTCCCTCTTATCGTGGCCCCAGCGTGTAAAGATTGTTCCTGGACGGAACGAATGCTGCTTTGTGAAAAATGCCCAGTCAAAAAAAAAAGCAGCCTGACTGCCACGCGCGCCTTCTCCGAGTCGCTCTCGTGCAAAAACACCTGTCTGACCTGCGCAGCCAGTGTAATGAGAAACAACGCTGCCGGCCATGCACGGCCGGCCATTCTGCGTACATGTTGATTGGCTGTGAATGACGCATATGATGTGTCTTCAAGCATGTCTGCTTCCGCAACGCTCATGCTCAAACACGCTATCCAGTGCAAAAAGTCACAAGCCCATTCAAAAAACTGCGGCCGGCAGTTCGCTAAGGTCTGCTGTTGTCAGGTTGAAATGAGCTGGGAATTAGTGTGGCGAGTCCGATGCGAGGAAATGCACAAGGAGACGCTGTCCTCGCCAGTGGACATTCATAGAAACCCAGGGCTAAAAATACTACATTTTAGTTGTGCAAGGTTGATTCAGGATAGGTTGTGTAGAGTTAGGGCAGATCTAGGATGGAGAGGTTGGTTTCCCATTGGCGCAAAGCAGGCTCAGAGAGGCAGCGGCTTGTTTTAGGCTGGATTCAAGTTAGGCTTAAAGGCTTAGTCGCATTCATCACCTTGGTTCCGCGTGGACGTAAAGTACGTGGTGCACCTCCCCCGCCAAGTTTCCGTGGATCCACTTCTGGAGCTTCCTGATGTCACAGAGAGCCAGTGGCCTTTAGACTTCGCTAGTCTTGAAAGTTATCTACCTTTGGGCATTGTGGATCTCGGCGCGATCTCTGTCACAAGTGCGCTTTGAGATATGAAGCCTGCATAAGACCCATGCCGTAGGTGCGCCTAAGCCGTGAAGTCTGCATAAGACCTGCTTGTAAGTCTTTGCGGATAAAATGCAGTCCACTCCGCCCGTGCTGTTGGGGAATGTCTAAATCTAAGCTGCGATAGTGGCCTCTCCCAGTCGAAGCAAATGTGTCATTGAAGCAGGCAGGCAACTGGCAGATCAGATCGTGGAGGAAAAGCTGCAACTTCCTCCGTGGAGCCTTGCAGGCCTGTGCAAGTCTTCCAGGGTCACTAACAACGCTGCTACCTTGCTCTAAGCTGCAACTGAGAGCTGGATGCATTCTAGAGTAGTTGTTAGGGTGGTGTCTTGATTTGGGGTGCGATCAGGTTGAATATTGTGTTCTTTCACTGCTGGTTTGGTGCTGCTTTGGTGCTGGCTGAGGGGGAAGGATTGGTTGAGGAAAGCTGAAAGCCAGAAAGACACAAGAGCCGCCGCAGGATGCAAACAGAACCTCGGTGGCTTTGTTTGGCCCAGCGTTGCCCGCATGTTTAGCAACCGCAAAATCCCCAACGACGTGCTGCCGGCCTTGTGCGTTTTCGGCGCACCTGCCAAGGTTGGCTGAAATTTACGTTCTCTCTGGCCCAAGCTTAGAATTTGTGGTTTTCTTTGTTCTTTTTTAAATCTTCCCCTGCAGGCGCTGCGTGGCTATTTGCCCTGCCGCCCTGCCTTGCGCCTCCCGACCTCAGCTTCTGAGTCTGGCGTTCTGGCACGCTCCGCGCTCTCGCCATCGGGCAGACAAACGACATGAACAAAAAGACACGCCCATCCGTACAAATTGAGGTGCCGTGTTGAAGATTACTATGCCCCACTCCAATGGATGATTTGGACACAGCTCGACTCGCTAACACGTTTTCGCATGTCAAACGCGTCTAAGTGTCGTGCCTTTGCTCTTGCTTTGGGGCGCTGTCCACCAAACGTCCTCAGCCTGCGCTACACAAATTGCATGCCTGATGCCTTCCTACTCTATCTGTTCATTCCTTCCGCTGTTTCCTCTTTGAGGGGTTGCATACATGAGTCCCTCCCCGCGCAAATTGCGGAGCTCTCATCGGTGTTCGGACACCCTAGGAGCACTGGAGCTGTGCAAAGAATTCCGCTTTGTCAAAGATGGCTAGCGCCTCCGCTTGGTGTGAGAATGTCTAAAAGCCATCAAATACGATGGAGAACAGCTGATGTGGGCAGGGTGCTTTTGCACCCATCTTTGCTGAGTGGAAACAAGCCCAGATTTCAGCGGACAAGTATCTGTGAGCTACAAAGCAGGGACCAAGGGAAGGAGTTCAGGAATCTAGACTGCATGATGATGCTCGGCAGCAAGCAAAGCGGCTCAAGCACAAGTGTGTTCCAGCCTCTTTGGTCGTCACCAAGCTCTTCTGCAATGGCTCTCCTGCATCGGCTCAGGCCCGAACGCCGGACATAAGCACCAAGGACCCTAGAGCCCACGGCAAGGTTTAACCAAAAACATAATCTTTCAGCGGCTCCTTCTCTTAGGCCCCAGGTTTCAATCTGAGAGAAAACCACTCCAAAGCGCAAGAACCCTCGGTCCTATCTCCCGTCGGGGGCCTCGCTGGCCTCAGCTCAATACATGGGGTGCCAGTCAAAAGCATCTAAGGAAAAATGAGGGGCTCAAACCAATACATGTTGGTTGAAGGAAAAGCAGGAGAACACGCATCGCTTCAAACGAACTGTTGCAAACTCTCTGCATGTTCTTGCGTTAGTTAGGACTCCTTTTCAAAGATGGGAATCCCCGGCTCATCAAGTCAAGCAATTGTGATAAGAAGTAAGAAACACATGATGCAGGACACGCATGTTCTAGAAAGGTTGTATTTCAGATGAATTCAACTATTGCTCAACTTTCGCCAATCAACTGTAACTCTCCACCAGCAATAATCAACACTGTTCTGGCGCTTGTTCACAAGCTCTCACATCAGTTTGCTTTCTTGTTCAAGAGCATGCGGTAAAGTGAAACTAACAGTGAGTATTCGGTAGGCCACCAGACGTGAGCTAACATGCAAAAAGAGGACACCCATGAAAAGTCGAGTCTCCATATCCTTCCAGTCCGGGGCCTCCGGCCAAAAAAGCCACGTATCCCTGAGCGAGCCATCACCCCGGTAGCCAAGGATCCGTCCTGAGAGGGGCAGTCTGTCCAAAGTCAAGTGGCTGAATCTATGGTGGACAGTCGGTATCGTATCTTAATCAACTTTGTCTTAATCTATACTCAAGTCTGAAAGCTTGATCTATGGTGGATTTGCTCTAAGATGCATGAGTCATAGACAGAGAAGCAATCGTTGATTCACGTCCTATGGTGGATTTGCTCTAAGATGCATGAGTCATAGACAGAGAAGCAATCGTTGATTCACGACCTATGGTGGATTTGCTCTAAGATGCATGAGTCATAGACAGAGAAGCAATCGTTGATTCACGTCCTATGGTGGATTTGCTCTAAGATGTATGAGTCATAGACAGAGAAGCAATCGTTGATTCACGTCCTATGGTGGATTTGCTCTAAGATGCATGAGTCATAGACAGAGAAGCAATCGTTGATTCACGTCCTATGGTGGATTTGCTCTAAGATGCATGAGTCATAGACAGAGAAGCAATCGTTGATTCACGTCCTATGGTGGATTTGCTCTAAGATGCATGAGTCATAGACGGAGAAGCAATCGTTGATTCACGTCCTATGGTAGATTTGCTCTAAGATGCATGAGTCATAGACAGAGAAGCAATCATTGATTCACGCCCTATGGTGGATTTGCTCTAAGATGCATGAGTCATAGACAGAGAAGCAATCGTTGATTCACGTCCTATGGTGGATTTGCTCTAAGATGTATGAGTCATAGACAGAGAAGCAATCGTTGATTCACGTCCTACGGTGGATTTGCTCTAAGATGCATTAGTCATAGACAGAGAAGCAATCGTTGATTCACGTCCTATGGTGGATTTGCTCTAAGATGCATGAGTCATAGACAGAGAAGCAATCGTTGATTCACGTCCTATGGTGGATTTGCTCTAAGATGCATGAGTCATAGACAGAGAAGCAATCGTTGATTCACGTCCTATGGTGGATTTGCTCTAAGATGCATAAGTCATAGACAGAGAAGCAATCGTTGATTCACGTCCTACGGTGGATTTGCTCTAAGATGCATGAATCATAGACAGAGAAGCAATCGTTGATTCACGTCCTATGGTGGATTTGCTCTAAGATGCATGAGTCATAGACAGAGAAGGTCATAGACAGAGAAGCAATCGTTGATTCACGTCCTATGGTGGATTTGCTCTAAGATGCATGAGTCATAGACAGAGAAGCAATCGTTGATTCACGTCCTATGGTGGATTTGCTCTAAGATGCATGAGTCATAGACAGAGAAGCAATCGTTGATTCACGTCCTATGGTGGATTTGCCCTAAGATGCATTAGTCATAGACAGAGAAGCAATCGTTGATTCACGTCCTATGGTGGATTTGCTCTAAGATGCATGAGCCATGGACAGAGAAGCACTCGTTGATTCACGTCCTATGGTGGATTTGCTCTAAGATGCATGAGCCATAGACAGAGAAGCAATCGTTGATTCACGTCCTATGGTGGATTTGCTCTAAGATGCATGAGTCATAGACAGAGAAGCATGAGTCATAGAAGCAATCGTTGATTCACGTCCTATGGTGGATTTGCTCTAAGATGCATGAGTCATAGACAGAGAAGCAATCGTTGATTCACGTCCTATGGTGGATCTTGCATCTAAGATTCACGTCCTATGGTGGATGAGTCATAGACAGAGAAGCAATCGTTGATTCACGTCCTATGGTGGATTTGCTCTAAGATGCATGAGTCATAGACAGAGAAGCAATCGCTGATTGGTGAATTTGCTCTAAGATGCATGAGTCATAGACAGAGAAGCAATCGTTGATTCACGTCCTATGGTGGAATTGCTCTAAGATGCATGAGTCATCAGAGAAGCAATCGTTGATTGCTATGGTGGATTTGCTCTAAAGATGCATGAGTCATAGACAGAGAAGCAATCGTTGATTCACGTCCTATGGTGGATTTGCTCTAAGATGCATGAGTCATAGACAGAGAAGCAATCGTTGATTCACGTCCTATGGTGGATTTGCTCTAAGATGCATGAGTCATAGACAGAGAAGCAATCGTTGATTCACGTCCTATGGTGGATTTGCTCTAAGATGCATGAGTCATAGACAGAGAAGCAATCGTTGATTCACGTCCTATGGTGGATTTGCTCTAAGATGCATGAGTCATAGACAGAGAAGCAATCGTTGATTCACGTCCTATGGTGGATTTGCTCTAAGATGCATGAGTCATAGACAGAGAAGCAATCGTTGATTCACGTCCTATGGTGGATTTGCTCTAAGATGCATGAGTCATAGACAGAGAAGCAATCGTTGATTCACGTCCTATGCTGGATTTGCTCTAAGATGCATGAGTCATAGACAGAGAAGCAATCGTTGATTCACGTCCTATGGTGGATTTGCTCTAAGATGCATGAGTCATAGACAGAGAAGCAATCGTTGATTCACGTCCTATGTGGATTTGCTCTAAGATGCATGAGTCATAGACAGAGAAGCAATCGTTGATTCACGTCCTATGGTGGATTTGCTCTAAGATGCATGAGTCATAGACAGAGAAGCAATCGTTGATTCACGTCCTATGGTGGATTTCCTCTAAGATGCATGAGCCATAGACAGAGAAGCAATCGTTGATTCACGTCCTATGGTGGATTTGCTCTAAGATGCATGAGTCATAGACAGAGAAGCAATCGTTGATTCACGTCCTATGGTGGATTTGCTCTAAGATGCATGAGCCATAGACAGAGAAGCAATCGTTGATTCACGTCCTATGGTGGATTTGCTCTAAGATGCATGAGTCATAGACAGAGAAGCAATCGTTGATTCACGTCCTATGGTGGATTTGCTCTAAGATGCATGAGTCATAGACAGAGAAGCAATCGTTGATTCACGTCCTATGGTGGATTTGCTCTAAGATGCATGAGTCATAGACAGAGAAGCAATCGTTGATTCACGTCCTATGGTGGATTTGCTCTAAGATGCATGAGTCATAGACAGAGAAGCAATCGCTGATTCACGTCCTATGGTGGATTTGCTCTAAGATGCATGAGTCATAGACAGAGAAGCAATCGTTGATTCACGTCCTATGGTGGATTTGCTCTAAGATGCATGAGCCATAGACAGAGAAGCAATCGTTGATTCACGTCCTATGGTGGATTTGCTCTAAGATGCATGAGCCATAGACAGAGAAGCAATCGTTGATTCACGTCCTATGGTGGATTTGCTCTAAGATGCATGAGCCATAGACAGAGAAGCAATCGTTGATTCACGTCCAGAGACACAAAAGCAATCGTTAATTCACGTCCTATGGTGGATTTGCTCTAAGATGCATGAGTCATAGACAGAGAAGCAATCGTTGATTCACGTCCTATGGTGGATTTGCTCTAAGATGCATGAGCCATAGACAGAGAAGCAATCGTTGATTCACGTCCTATGGTGGAATTGCTCTAAGATGCATGAGTCATAGACAGAGAAGCAATCGTTGATTCACGTCCTATGGTCGATTTGCTCTAAGATGCGTGAGCCATAGACAGAGAAGCAATCGTTGATTCACGTCCTATGGTGGATTTGCTCTAAGATGCATGAGTCATAGACAGAGAAGCAATCGTTGATTCACGTCCTATGGTGGATTTGCTCTAAGATGCATGAGTCATAGACAGAGAAGCAATCGTTGATTCACGTCCTATGGTGGATTTGCTCTAAGATGCATGAGCCATAGACAGAGAAGCAACCGTTGATTCACGTCCTATGGTGGAGTTGCTCTAAGATGCATGAGTCATAGACAGAGAAGCAATCGTTGATTCACGTCCTATGGTGGATTTGCTCTAAGATGCATGAGTCATAGACAGAGAAGCAATCGTTGATTCACGTCCTATGGTGGATTTGCTCTAAGATGCATGAGTCATAGACAGAGAAGCAATCGTTGATTCGCGTCCTATGGTGGATTTGCTCTAAGATGCATGAGTCATAGACAGAGAAGCAATCGTTGATTCACGTCCTATGGTGGAATTGCTCTAAGATGCATGAGTCATAGACAGAGAAGCGTCATAGACAGAGAAGCAATCGTTGATTCACGTCCTATGGTGGATTTGCTCTAAGATGCATGAGTCATAGACAGAGAAGCAATCGTTGATTCACGTCCTATGGTGGATTTGCTCTAAGATGTATGAGTCATAGACAGAGAAGCAATCGTTGATTCACGTCCTACGGTGGATTTGCTCTAAGATGCATGAGTCATAGACAGAGAAGCAATCGTTGATTCACGTCCTATGGTGGATTTGCTCTAAGATGCATGAGTCATAGACAGAGAAGCAATTGTTGATTCACGTCCTATGGTCGATTTGCTCTAAGATGCATGAGTCATAAACAGAGAAGCAATCGTTGATTCACGTCCTATGGTGGATTTGCTCTAAGATGCATGAGTCATAGACAGAAAAGCGTCATAGACAGAGAAGCAATCGTTGATTCACGTCCTATGGTGGATTTGCTCTAAGATGCATGAGTCATAGACAGAGAAGCAATCGTTGATTCACGTCCTATGCTGGATTTGCTCTAAGATGCATGAGTCATAGACAGAGAAGCAATCGTTGATTCACGTCCTATGGTGGATTTGCTCTAAGATGCATGAGTCATAGACAGAGAAGCAACCGTTGATTCACGTCCCCCCTCCCCCCAGAATAGGAAGCCGTCGAACCGCAGTGAGTTACAACGATATCCGCATCCCTTGCTAGGACTTGGGAGTTACATCCCTGCCGAACGAACGGGTCCAGGCTCCTCCCGGAAAAACGCTGGGTTCAGTGCAAACGGAAGGTAGCCTGGTTGAAACCTACCATGTCTAATCCGCTGAGGGTGCTCTGCAAGAAACCCTCGTGATGGCTTCAGGGTGCCGTCACAACTCTTTGTTGTTGTCGAGGATAAGAATGTGTTTGTTTGCTGGGATCGTGGTCCAGTTTCGGCCAAAGTAAATGCTGGAAACTCAGTCCTTTCGTGCCCATTTCCCAGTCAAACTTGGAGTGCAATCTCACGTGCAACGTGAGGGGGAGCTAGCTTTGTCGAAGCCAGATGTGAAGTCTGTCAAGCTTGGGCTTCAAGCTGAGGAGTCCACAACCAAAGCAGCTACATTTGGGGAGAAATCGGGTGTGGCCATCTGCAGCTTGCTTGAAGCCCAAAGGAACTGCCAATACCTGGCAACCAACCTGAAGATACTCCCAGATTCTATTTTGGTGCTCCAGTGGACCCATATCTGCTGGAAACAAGCATGTCTAGGTTAGAAGTTCAATGGTGGTTGACTGAGGGATTCTCCGCAAATTCGACAGCCATCACCTCCCACCACTGAGACCGGCACGCAGACTCAGAGGCAACAGCAGCCGAAAGCAAATGGCATGTCCGTCCCCCTTGGGCAAAAGCTTTGCTGAACAGATGAATCTAAGTAGATTGCCACATGCGCCGCCATGCATTCTAAGTGCTCTGTCCTGAAGCTGTTAGGTCTCCCCGAGCCGTCAGAAGCACAGGGGTTCAAGAATTACTTGAGCCGAACGGAGCACGGTACTCTAGGCACTCGTGGTAAGTCGAGGCAACGTATATCTATCCAAGCAAGCAACGCGCTGCTTTGTCTGTGGGCTCCCTCCCACCCAATGCTCTCATTGTCATTGACCCGCGACTTGCCCTTGTGGCGGATGTCCGACGTGCACTCCCTCAGACCTCGACCGCCTTTGGCGAGATAGGCTTGCCCACGGCACATCTCAAGAGTCTGAAAGAATGCTTCACAGCCAGCAGCACTGGTTGAGTTTCTCTGCAGTGCCGCGTGACATGGAAAATGACCTCAACGACGCCCACAGCGTTGCTGGCATTGCTTCCAATCCGGACATGCAGTTTGTGCTGTTTCATGCTCATGTTTGTGTGTGTGTGTGTGTCTGTCTGTCTAGAGCTTCTTGTTAGTTGCTGCTTCCGCAACGCGGATCGTCACCGCAAGACTGCGCCTCAAGTTCCCTACGTACTGCCAAGCCCTGCACGGCGCCCTCAGCCGCCATGAATCGTAGACATCAGTTGCTTGACGATTAGACCATTCCCGCGGCATGCTGTAGCCAACCAGTGGGCAATCATACCAAAAAAATGAAACATCCACCAAATCCATTGTCGAAAGAGGATCCTCTGCTCAAAACGATGCGAAACCAGGCAAATGCAAGCCCGAGCAAACCGCGCAAGTTTGTGAGAAGAACTGCAGCTCGCATCACGCGGGTGCCGCCTGCAACTCATGGAAGCCGGTGCCAATAAACGGAGCTGGAGGTAGCACCTCGCAGTTGCTTTGCGCCGCGTCAAAATGCGTGAAGGGTGGAAGGGGGCAAGACCTTCCTGAAACCTTGCAGATTACAATGATTACAAACAAGCGAGCGCCTGAAGCACGTTGCTGGTTTGCTGTGAAGGTGGATAGAAGTTTGAAGGCCGCAGAAGCGTGGAATAATCCCTCTTATTCACGCGAGGTTCACCTGTTCTGTTGTTGCTTCTCCCCGGCAACCTATGCCGGCCCCTCCCAAACTGAGACCTGCACTGAACTCCAAGGCGGAGTTGATGCACAAGGCTCTGCAAGCGCATCGGGCTGGACCTTTGTGATGCACATCCGTCTCAAGTCTCAAGGTGTTGCAGCTTGAACTGAGGGAATGCGACGTGTCAGACTCAAGCCACGCTCCCTGCATCTAATGACAAGTTGCGCATGATGGTCCTTCAGCTTGCGGCTGTTGAAGCTCCTGCAAGTTTGGATTCAGCCATGCAAATGCTGGGCATGAAGCTGATTCCATTTGGAGCACCCATGGCCCAAGTTGCAAAGCCACGGAGCAACCAGTCAAAAACCGGCCAAGCACCAAGCAGTCACGACAAGACAGCTAGCCAGCAGTCCAAACCAGCAAAAGATCCCAAAGCTTCTATCACACGATCCATGGACCAGCCAACCGAAAGCTCGCTATCCAAGCGTCCAAGCACCACCAAGCACCAAGCCATAAACCTACCGAAACCAGCCCAAAACTCCTGAGCTCCAAACCGTCCCTTTTCCCCAAATCCCTGGCACCTCCGTGTCCAAATCCAGGCGGACGCGTCTCTGAAGCAACGTCACGCCTGCAAAGCGCGTTTTGGCCTGTCATGTTTTGGACCGGACCCAAAAGAAAAGCCGCCTTGCGGGGAGAATATGGTTGACCCGAAACCATCTTTTGAACCTATTTCTCATGGACTTCCCGTTCCATTCACAAACGTGGATTCTAGGTAAAAATGAATAGGCATCGATGGCCACCCAGCACTGAGAGTGTTCCTCAACTAAAGAATTCGGCAAAATTCACCCTGGAAGTTTGATGAAACACACCCTGGACGTTCTTCTAGCGAAATTGGAATGCTGAAAGAGACACCTTAGGATTCAAAATGCACATGTCGATACGTGCAGAAAAACTGGTGGAGCCAAGCAGCCTCCGAACTCGCTGTCGGAGCTGCTCTGCCAAGTTTGTGGTGTCGCTTGAGTGCTCGCAAGCCCTGATATCTCAGGACCCACCGCGTTCCAGTTCTGTTCGTATTGGCACTCTAACTCTGTCTCATTGATGCTCCGTATGCTCTCTGGCGATGAGAACAGCGGCGACAGCTGCATCGATTTCGGCTTCGCAATGTCGTAAAAGCGGCACTCCCGGCGGTACGCGCACACATCTTCAGGCGGGTGCGTGTTGCTCAGCCTGCCTTCCAAATCCTTGGCCACCTGCAGGAGATACGTGTGAGCTTGCAGCGGGTCCGTCTCCGTGAACCATCCGCACTGCTTGTGGTACCACTCCGGCAGCCCGCAAGCCTGCGGATGCTCGTACTGCTGCTGGACTAGGCGCGATTCCGCCGCAAGGTCTTTCCGGAACCGCGCGCACTCCTTCTTCGCCCATTGGCAAGATGTCCTCAGTGAACCGGGAAGCTACTTTGGGGGCGGGCCACACGAATCAGAAAGGGTGGAGAGCTACCGCATTCTGCGAGAGCGAAGTGGATGCCAAGGCTCTTGGGCGCGGCCAGAACGATTGCAGCTAGTCTCAGGAAGTAGCCCAACATTGGGTGCACCGTCCTGGAAACTGCACTTCGCACATTCGACGGTCGGGGGACGAATCGCCCGGTCTGGGTCCTGGGCGGTAAGCTGCTGAATTCATCGATGTAGATCTCCTGCATGAGGCAGGCGACATTTGCGTCTGCCCGTCTTGGGTTTCCTCCACTGGACTGGACAAATTGAAGATCAAGCCTCCAACAAGAGTCAAAACAGCGCGGAAGTCACAGACGGAGCAAAGCGTATTCCACTGGGAATCAGGTCTTACAGAGCGATTGTTGCCACAACATACTGGGTCTTGCCCAAGAATCAGTGCTTATACAATCAGGCTTTATACGTGCGAGCCAGCTTCAAGTCTTGCGTTCAGTCATGTTAGTGGATGTGTATGGCAAACTGAAACTGATGTCGACTTTCGAGCAGAAGACAATGGTACGAATGCGAGTAAAGGTGTGATCTGTCGTGCTCTTGCACGTCTAGCAACCCAAAGACACAGTCACAGCTTGGCAGAATCTAGCTGTGGCAATTGCGCCAATCCTAGTGCGTCTTACCATGTCGTACCGCACAGTCAATCTGAATACATTTACGTGTATACTCAAACCAACAACATTTACACTCGTCCCAGGGTTGCACTGGATTGCCAAAGCAAATCTAACTCAATTTCAAAGGTCTTACTAAACTGGACATTGGACTTCAATACATGGCTGTAGTGGTTAACTTACAAGTCTGACGCGAAGCACCCTAAAGCCCTTGCTTTGAACACATATTGGAATCAGTTGGAAACAAGCCCCTAGTAAGTCAATGCAAGCAGGAAATGTCTTAGAACGTTGGTCTGAACTTAACGCATGCAAATACGCTTGCAATTTATATATATGGCATTATGTACATTAAATAAAACTACACCAGCGTAGACCCCAGATAGCGAAATGCCAACGATTTGCCACCTAGCACCCTGCCGTCAATCTCGCAAAAACACACCTGGCCGTCACCAGGCCCCCCAAAACAGCACCTGCACCAGCCGTCAATCTCGCAAAAACGCCACGCCCGTCACCACCCCCCCAAAGCCATCCGCGCCATCACCCCGAACAGCACTCCCAGAGCACACGGCCATCAATCTCGCAAACATGCACCAGCACCATCAAAGAGCACCCCAAACACCATCCCAAAGCAGCACCTTCGCAAACACCCCAGACTGCATGCATAGCGCCCTACCGCCAATCTTGCAAAAGTGCGCCGGCACTGTCACCTGCACACCCCAAAGCAGCACCTGCGCCAGCACCCAAACTGCAGACCCTAGCACCCCCAATCCAAATAAAATGCGCCCGCGGCATCACCAGCGGCTCAAACAGAACCATCACCAGCACCCCAAACTGCACGCCCCCTAGCACCAGCCGGCAATCTCGCAAATCACTTTCCCTTCTGTGTTCGAAGTTAGAACCCCTATAGCTTTCAGATATCTGGGGAATAAACATATGCATCACCTGCGGCTCATCCCGGGCCGCGTGGAAGGTCTCTCGGAGCCCCACGCCCTTGCCTTGCCGGAGTCGTTCCATCGCCGCCAGCCCCCCGGCACTGGGCAGCGCTCCAGGGCGGCCGCCAGCCACAGCAGCGGCTCCGTGTCCAGCCTAGCGGCCGGTCCAGCCCGGGGGAGGGGTCTGTCAAAAAGGGGGCAAAAATCGGTATTTTGTGGGGCTCCCCTTTGAACCATCCTGAAAAGGGCCTTTGGGGTACCCTCAAAACCCAGCCCCATGTGCAGGTTGATATAAGATTACTACTGTGACGTCCTTAAGTCCTTTGAGGCTTGGTTTTGCAAGACTCACTATAGTCCCCAAACCAGTGAGAGCCTCCTGTTAAAATGGCATATAGGGGTGTTGACCTGGAAGCCTTGACCCAGGCTCCATCTGTTTCCTTGGGTTAGCAAAATCGCATACACCAACAGGTACTCTTAGCAGATTAGATTCGTCAGGAAAGGAGGGCTAAACAAACAACGACATGTGCCTGGAGTCAAGCTGACGCCATGCGTGCAATGCACGCACAGAACCTGTTTGAAGGTAGTGGGCACCGAACGTGATGAGTGGCAGACTTTCCTCCGATGGGAAAATGACTTTGCATGGATGGACATTCAAATCAACTCACCAGGGCAGCTGTGCTGGTCCGAAACCTGGACATGGCTCGACCGGTTTGCGTTGGAGTCGAGGCAATGGCCAAGAGGCTTGGAGTCCACCTCCAAAGAAGCGCCACAGGGCTGCTCAGTTGCAGTTTGCCACTGAGACTTCTAAAAGTGGCATGTGTGCCGACACGGGTCCTCTCACAGCAAGCGCAACTGTGCTGCGGCCGCGTACACAGGAATGTGTTCCCATGGCGATGCTTGAGAATCCTTTTGCTGGCGGTCTAGCCACCAAAGGATCCACCACCCCTGGTCAGCCCGAGTCAGCGATGGGCTTTGTGGTCTCTTTTACTTGATACCCCTGAGGGTGTGTTGAAGGGAAGGCAAAGGGGCAACCCATGCCGTGAGTTTTGAATGAGACCCGAAACCATTCCCCTTTCCACGCCTCAGCATCTCCCCGGTCGGCTCATCCGGCAGCGGAGTAGTCAGGGCTTGTCGCTGCAGCATAGCGAGCCCTCAGCCCACAGATTCCTAGGCCAAGCCTGTGATAAAATGGGCGCCTCTGTGATCTAGTGCCTTTCTTCACACACATACTATGGGATACACACGTGTATATATATATATATGTAGACATGTACATGTAGACCAATAAACGTACAACACGTTCTTTCCTCTCTATCTTTGTATATGAATATATCTATATCGACATAAATGAGTGTAAACCCGCAGACGTTTCGTTTGTTGAGCTGGCGCACCAGCGGCGTCATCACTCGTCCCAGACACATTTGTTCCCAATCAAGTCAATGCGCTGCAGCATTTGTCTAATGTAACAACTCATGGGCCGCGAGTTGGTCTTTCACGACATATGTGTGTCCAATTCTATCTCCAATAGATTTTACTTCCTTGTCCAACTCCACGCATGCGCACATTGTCAAAAGTTGTTCACACGTGTAAACATAGAAGCCCTATTGAAAACCTCCTGCCGGCGTGATGGCTTGATGTCCATCCCGAACTCTTGCGCCTCAAAGGCTCACCTTCCGCACCAGGAGTTGAAAAAACGAAAACATATTTGGAGCGGTGGAATCCACTCTCTTGACGCTTCGGATTCAATTTTGGGCTCCATAGCGAGAACGCCAAGCAGCTGAAGTACTTGGCGGCCAGAAAGTGCAGCTCCGGATCTTCGGCGACCATGGCAAGGCTTGGATCTTAGCTCAAGACGCGCTCTGGGCATGGGCCGAGTCTCACAAGATCGATTGGCTCCGTCGGCTTCAATTCCAGGGTCTCTTTTAAAAAATCCCGACACGAAACTTGCTTGGTCTGCATCCAGCTTGAAAGAGCGAGATTTGAGCCTGCCACAAAGAGCCAAGATGTCTTTTCCTCCAGATTCCATTCTGGTGGAATGAGCGAGGGGGCCAATCCGGGCATTCCCTTCCGGAAGTTCACCTTTTCACTTCTGCCTGTGATGGCCCAGTGGGCAGTCGCATCTATTGCCGTCACACATTCCGCTCGCTTTCCTGAGCGGGTTTCAGCTGGTGTCCTGCAACATGCAGTTGCAGGATCCCAAAAGGCAGAACTTTGTATGTACAATCTCGAAGCTTGTCCACAGCACTGCCACGTCAGATCGACAGAGACGGATCATATTTCTCAAGCTCCGGCCAGCTCATTTCCCTGACAGCTGTGGACACTGACAGCAGTCAGACTTGGAGAGTGTCGGGTGTCCCTCGTTGGTGTCCCTTCAACTTGCTTCGCAGCTTAGAAGAACGAATCGCCCCTAAGTTGACCGCCCGCCTGCCAGTGCAACACAGGCTGATCCAGAAATGAGGCCTACGGTGGAAGCTGACGCGAGACGGGCAAACAACGGCGGATGGCCAAGTGCAGGCAATGACATAGATCTGTTCCCGTCCCAAACCAATTCAGGCCACGTACCAACTGCATGTCCCAAAACAACAAATCCCGGCGCGTGCAGCGTGTGTGTGTGTGTGTGTGTGTGTGCAGTGAAAAGCAAAACGGGAAAATGCGCCATCCGGCGTTGCGGTATGTTGCAGTCATTCGCTACCCCCGCCTTGGAAGCTGTGGCGTCCCAGAATTGCTGCACGAAGCCGGCGCCAGCGAGTCGCCGCAGCTGTGGGCGCCATGGCCTTGATCCCCGTCGGACTGCCCCAAAGAGGATGGAGCACCTTCCCATGGAAATGACAAGTCTCCTTGAGAAGAGAGTAGTGTCTTCCAAATGGGTCTGCACTTCCAAGTTGTCTGGTAAATCATCTTAGTGACACAACAAAGAGAAAATCACCATCTTGGGGGATGCCCTATTTTGCTGGGTCGATCGAATGCAAACCTGCAAGCGCTCGAATGCAAACCTACAATGTAAGGTCAGAGCGCATCGCGGACCGGTGCGAAAAGATGCACCTTCAGGACATCAGGGTTATGCCATTCTGAATGACGGCGCACTTTCAACATTTGGGACATCTTCAGTCACGGGAACCCTAAAAACCACTCACATCTGCCCGTGCGCCAAATGGCCTTCTTGAAACTGGAAACAATCTGTTCCAAGCGCTTCCCAATGACATCCTCCAAGTACCTGGCAGAGAGTACAAACATGCGATGTGCAGTGAGCATTCTGCGCCGGCGGCTGTTTATGAGGGCAAGGCAGAAGTTCGCGCGCTTTGCTGTGAACCAAGCGCGAGCCACTTCAGATCACGCTGGAGTCACTTCAGATAACGCTACCCAAGCACCACTCCTCTCGACGGAGAGGACCATGGCATCAAGCACGGTCTGCGTTTGCAGAGTCTGCTGTGGCCGCACATCGTCAAGCTGACCTGATGCCACCAGCAAAGAGAACGACTCCACCACAGCTGCATGCTGCACACCGCTCAAGACTTGCTCGTCCTTGACGGCTTCCACCGGGAAGGTCTCGATTTTCGGCCCGAAACCAGTTCGGACCACCTTCAGCTTGGCCATGTCAACCGTTGAAGCAAAGAACAAAATCTTGAAGTGAAAGCGAGGCGTCGTCGCTGAACGGCTCCGCATTGTCACGGAACGGACATCTGAGTGAGCACATAAAGCTGGCAGTTCTGCCACCCTCAGAACCCGTCTGTGCCACAACATGTGTGGGCGCATGCTCTTCAGTGTGCTCAACAAAGTTGTATGATACACTCACTGGCAATGTATAATTAAAAGCCCAAGGTGTGAATCGAGCATTGTACCATTCCTAATCGCCCAAGCATCCCAATGGCTGCATGGCTTTCTTCATTCGAACGTGCTGCTCTGCCCAACTCCAATACCTGCCAAAGCCAACGCTGAACGTTGAGTGCACATGCTTCAGCTTTCCGATGAGCTCTGCATCATCCAAAGTCTTGCGCGCATGGAGTTTGGCCGCCTTGCACGCGTCGATCATGCGCTTCCGTCTCGGCCATGCTCGCCATCGGCTTCTTCATCAATGTGCTTCTTGGCGGCGATGGCCTTCATCTCCACGTCTGTGCGCAGCCCAGGCACCGGGATGTACGCGGCCCGGATGCCAGCATCTGCTAGGAGATCCTCGTAGGATCCGTAGGCTTTCGCACCAGGGCAGTGGTCTGCAATGAACTTCTCAGCTTTCTCGACGGATCTGGAACATGCTGTGGCCACCGACTGTTTATGCGCTGACGGACACGCAAAACTTCTCAGAAAAGCCGGCACAGCCTAGGATGGCATTGAACCGCCATCACTGGTGAAGCTAATCCTATTCAAGTTTCGAGCCAAGCATGAGCCAAGATGTGCAGTGAACCCAAACTACATCTCATTCAACACGGATGCAACTCAACGAGAGCTTGCCGGTGGATGTTCTTCAATGCCTTTCTGTAGACTCTCCCCTTCTCAAAGCAAGCTCTACTTTGGTGGTTGCAAGGTCTGCTTGCTTTATAAAGTACTGCAGGGAACGGCAGCGCAGAAAGGTCACGCGTCAGAGAAGGGCGGATTGATGCCGACAACCTTGCAATGTCATCCACAGATTCACTCTCGCGTTCTGCAACACACTGCAAGTGAGCTCAACAAAAGTCAAACAGCCTTGGAGACAAGAAGGCTCGGCTTGCATTAGCTCCTGTTGAGGGAACTCACGGGTGTCTTCGTCAAAAACCTGACTCAGGGCCGCGCAGCTGTGGATGGCCACGTCTGCAGAACATCCGGGTACCTGTTACATCGGGTAGGATTTCAGAGCAACTGTCAACTCCCTCAGGTCGTGAACAATAGCTTTGATATGTCATTTTCACTCCCTGGCTTTTCCGCAAGGCTGGATGCATTGTCATTCTCTTGGCATCAAAAGGCCCTGCCTTGCTTGCAGCACCCTCCAAATCTAGAGCGCAAGGCCAAGACGACGGTTTACAATATCTTAGCGCTTCGCGGGTTTCGCGAGCTCGTGCAAATGAGAATGGGAAAAGGGGGATCGCTTGATACTGAGCCGATCCACCCGTGGAAACCTTCTGCTCTCTGAGTACAGGCAGAATTCGCTGAGGGTCACGAGCCCGCAGAGCCAAAAACCTCCTCCGCGTGCGGGAAGCGGGAGGCGAACCTCAGATCTGGACGGTTTCTCTCTGGGAGTAACATACGTCCATTGCATCTGGCCCTTCCTTCACTACTTGCGTAGCCCAACTGCTACAAGGCGTCAACACTGGGCCTCCACACTTCCCATTGCTCACTTGGGCATTGAAGGGTGACGCAAAGAGCTCGTACCTCCGCCAGCGCAAGGAAGGTTCGGTCAGCTCGGGTTGGCTCAACGTCTTTGGATCCAACCCGTGCCAGCTGGAACTTTGCCAAAGTCGCTGGCTCAAGGCTCCGTTGCTCACTCGATGTCGTCGCAGCCTTTTGAAGATGGACCAAAGCAGCCTGCGTGATCGAAATCAAGTGCATGCCAGTGTGTACAGGAGGAGGGGGACATCAGGCGATGGAGCAGTTCCCCCACCGCGTGAACACGAACACCGACGACAATGCACCACGTGCCAAATCTGCAGGGTTTTCCGAGGGATTCCCTTCAAAACCAACCCAAAATGGTTACCCAACAAAAACACACCCCATTTCTTGACTGAGGGGAGCGCAGAGCTGATGCGAACTTCTGTGCTTGGCAGGCAGCACAGGGTTCCTGAAGCAGCCGCAGCATGCATGTCAATCATCATTTTTGCGCGCAGCCTTGCTTCTGGGTTCCTTGCAAAACGTCGTATAGCAGACATATGGGGCATGCAGGCATCCACAATGAACACCATATTGGCTATGGAAATATGTTGATGAAGGGTCATGATGAAGATCCCTGAAAGTGACGCCAACAATTCTATCAACTATGTATCAGCAAATTCCTCAGCAAGCATGTTGAGTCCTTGTGGCAGAGGAATGGCTTGCTGAAAGACCGAATGCTGCTACTCACTGCAAAGAATCGTTCACATACAGTCAAACAAAAACAGCATCACTTGATTGACCATCTTCGCCCTGTTGCCTCCAAGCTCAGGCCGCAATTTGGTAGTTTGTGAAACTCCGCTAACAGCTGCTACCCGCCAGGCCCACATCCGGGGCTCGGCTCTCTCTCCATTGGTTCCCGTCCAGAACCGGATTGGCACCCCCGCTCCAGCGCCCGATACAGCGCCAGGACTCGTGCCATGGCCTATGTGTCAAATGCTGTTTTCTTGGTCATTAATCTCAGAAGTGGTTGGTGGACATGTATGTGTGTGTTGTTTCTTTTTGAGGGACCCTTTTCAGGCTGGTTTAAGGGGAGGCCCAAAGCAATACCACCATTTTTTGGGGGTCCCCCTATTTTGACCCGCATCCATCCCCTACCTAAATGATGTACCGATGAGTTCCCAATGAAGATGCAGATCCTTTTGTGGAGTTGGGCGTGCTTTTGAGAATACCCAAAACCAAAGGGAAACCAGCCATCTTGGGGCAACCCCACTTAGTACCCTTTGTAACGCGCACACACCAACAAAAAAATACAAAGTGGGGGGGGGTCCCATTTCGGATGGCTCTAGCGGCAACACACCAGCCAGAAGACCGCAAAATAGTTCAGTCAACTGTTGCGAAAGAGAACACCAAGAACACTTAGGGATTCAGGGACCAACGGGCAGCGGCGGCATGTAGCAATTCCTGTTTACCATCACGAAGCGGATCTCAAGTTTCGATTGCCATTTCAGCGGACAAGAAAGTCCTGAGCTACGAAAAGTGTATGATTGCTCTGGAAACGGGGATCGCTGGAACGCAAAAGCTGTCGGGAGAGGTGTGTCCAGGGCTTCTCAGCCATACGGCTGAAAATAGGTACCCAAAATGGAAGCCTGGAAAAAAAATGGTTGCGGTCCCCTGGTAGCTTTGACCCCATACCGACAAAGAGGGCTGAGCCTGGAAAGGAGATCCTGTTTCTCATGTTTAACCGTTGACTCAGTCCGTGGGAACGAGGCCCGGAGGCCCGGCCGATGCGCGTGAGGCAACATTGTCCTGCGAAAGCTGGTAGCCGCAACTCAATGGATCCTCTTTAACATGACCGCCCGCCCCCTCACAGTGCCAACCAGCCAGAACCCCCTTTCATGCAAAATCGGCGGATCTGGGCTGGACTTCACTTTGATTGTCACTTCTAAACTTACGACTGCCAAGACATAATCTTGGCTTTCCAGTACGTGATTTCGTATTGAACACTACATTTAGTAACGCCAATAGTCTTGGATGTCCAGCCCTGAATTTCCGGGAATTTCAGACCTATCCAAAAAATGCTTGCCATGAAAGAAGACCCCAAAGAAATGGAATCAAAAAGGATCAGCAGCTCTTGTGGACTCCCTCCTTTGTGCGACTGTGCTACCTTGGAATTGAAAAAGGGATTTATATTCAAAAGACAAAATGTTTGGGGACCACTCCAAAAAGAGGAAATGCTATATCCAAGGCCTTTAGCCTGTGAGCTGCAAAGGACTTAGATGAACCCTTGAAATGCAAAGACTTTAATCTGGGAATGTCACACCCGCAAACATTCAGATCAAAAAGGATCAGGGGCTCTTGCAGGCTAACCCCCTTTTGTGTGACTGTTTGGCCTTGGTATTGTAAGGGGGTTGCATATGAATGCCTTGGGGGCCACGTCAACAACAGGAATTCCTACATCTGGGAAAGGCTGAGGCTTTAATCTGGTATTGTCCCCCAATAAACAAGGCCTTTGCATTTGCTTTTAAAACAAGAAATACAGCAAAGAACCCCAAAACAATCCCAGGATCCTGAAGTAGGCAATACTCCTGCACCGGCAAAAGTTACCTTTAGCTGTACCGAGGGAACGAGACTGGTTGTCAATCTCACATTCAAACAGCAAGAAACCTGGTGCGCCAACCGAAGGCCACGTTGCACCTTACAATTGACAAATCATTAATTTACAGCAACATTGTTCTTCCTTTCATTCCCTTCCCTTGTTATTTCATGTTATGCTATTTAAGTATATATTTCTGGCTTTTTGTCTTTCTGTTGTTCTTGCCTTTCTTCGTTTATTTCTGTGTCTGTAGCTATTTCGGTATTCATTGTCTTTCTTGTCTTTTCGTGTTCCTTCGCTATTTTCCATTCAGTGCTATCTTCTTGCACGCTCCCTCCCTTGGAGCAGAGTAGCACAGAATTTCTTGCCATCAACAGCGCCAAATTATCTACGCTCCTCCGCAAGGGTGTAGCGCTTGAGCAAAGCCTGAGGGAGTTGGTGGCCAGTGGTACGAAGTGCTGATGCACTCCAGTGCCTTGACTGACATGCCACTGCTGTTCAACTCTGATGTGCATGTCGCCCAGCCTGAATGTCCACGTATGCGACAGGAAATTGATGTCGGCCAACGAAGATCTGCAAACACAGCAGCCACCAGGACACCACTTTTCAAAAACTGGGAACCGGTTTGGGAATAACCACAGGTCAACCAGAAAATGTGCATGGTTGTCCAATTCTACCAGGCCTCGCCCCAATTGCCAGCGGGAAACTCCGCCACGTAGCTGCCCGGCACAGAACTGCGAGAGGCGGCTTCAACTGAGTACAGTATGAGTGCGTGTCAAAATAGGGGGACCCCAAAATTGGGTGTCTTCCTGACTCCCCTTCAAACCCACAAAGGAGAGTAGAAAACACACATATTCTGGACTCAGGCTGTTCTGCCGTGGCCCAAAGGCTGCCATCCACAACACCTATGCTTACAAAGGCTAGTTGTGCAGCTTACCGCTTGTCCCAGGAATCCTGGTGCCCCTGCTTCTGCGCTCAGTTGTCCCCTTGGTTTACTGACAAAACACGACTAGAACATTGTGTGTAGACATCAGGATTGTCGAAGCCCCTGTTGCATACCCATGGCACACATGCCACCAAACAGAATTATCATGTCATTGCTAAAACACATTTCCCAACATATTCCACTTGAAACATCACCCCGCAAAAAAGGATGCAAAATCCGATGTTTGAAACCTTTCGGGCTCTCAACCCGCTCTTTGCGAGCCCACCTGCCATGCGCAGCCAGGCCTTGGGCATCAGCACACCAGCAATCCGGCCATGCAACCCCTTTCCCTGGCTATACCGGCACATGGCCAAAATCCTTGCGGGTGGCCATTCCCGTAGGGTCGACCTTCTCTGGTCGGGTTTGTTAACCCGCAGTATCGCTGTCGCGAAACTACTTGGAGCTCATACCCCAAAAAATGAATGCTGAGCCGTTCAGACTATTTTTGCAGGCTCACACCCTTCACGCGTCGCATGCCCTGGTCTCCAGCACCGAAGAAAGCACCAGGCTGTGAAAACCAAAGCGTTCACCCGGCTGCGATGCTTGCGAGGGCACTTTCGCTCAGCCCGGGGCGATGAAGCACATTGCGCCGCGGCGCCTCCGGCAGCCTGTCGTCTCACCAGGCTATGGAGCCACTTTGTGTCCAGCCGCCCATGGCTTTTTCCCATGTCTGTGCGTTGCGGACATGTTTTTGCTGCTCTTTGGGCTCTCGCCTCTGCCACAAAGCCGAGTCGATGGGCGGCACCATTGGGTCCTCACCAGAGCTCTCAATCTGAGCGGTAGCCGCTGGAAGTGAACCCACACTTTGCAAGCATTGCAAATGCGGACACAAGTCCCAATGGGCCTGTCATACTTCCGAAACCATCAAGATCAGACGCTTCAAGACCACGCCTCCCCCTCTTGCCGCAGCAAGTCATGATCAATTAGGATGTAGCTGAGAATCTCCTGGCATCGTGCCAAGATTCAGAAAGTGCTCACACCACTGGTCGGCTTTGCATTTGCCCAAGTGAGATCTTCTATCAAATTACCCGAAATGACAAGCTTGAACCCAACGTGAGATGCGTCCGCAGGGCGCCACTCTGGGAAGGCTGTCCTGAAAGTTACTCGCAGCGCCTAAGACCTGGGCTGCACATCTGCTGGTTGTGCGGGTTGCCCCATGTCCAACAGTCGTTTGCAAATAAAACTGCAGATGCAAATAAATATGCAGACCAAATTGAGTAGACTGCTTGTGTGCAAAATCTGCAGCACATCACTTAGCTTGAGATCCATGCCTGTCTTGCATCCAGGATTGCAGCAACCTCACTCGGATGCTACAGCATAGGTCCCGCGTCAGATTGAACTGGTTCATTGTGGCATGTCAACTCCAACTGGCAAAGTCGTTCTTTTTTTGAGGCCACACCCCTCCCCCCTGACAGGCAGTCTTTACTCAGGGGATGCAACCACTTCGTTCATGTACTGTTATTAATTATTTGCTGCAAGGTGAGCTACTTTGAAATTCCGCCGGATTTGCTTATGGATAAGGATCAAGGACAGGAGTGTTCTGAGCGAGCGGCCCGCGCAGCGTCAGCGGCCGAGTTGTGGGTCTCAAAGTGTGCCTTCCACTGCGCCAGGGCGTGGAAAGCAGCATGCAAAGTCAGAAAGTTCATTTGTTTCGCTTGGCTTTCTTTGTGCTATTCCCTCCCCTTTCACTGCATTTCCCCCCCAATTCGAGGTGTTTTCCAGAGAACAATCCGCTGTCGCAGCTGAGCCATGTAGGAGTCATGGTCCCTCCACCTGTGGGCCGGGCTGGCACTTTAGCTGCCTGGCCCTCGCAGACCTCCGCACAGCATATCAGTGTCACTGTTCGCATTCTGAGTGGGACAAACACCTGCAGTTGACAGCTGGCTGACCCCTGTATTCAGTATTCATAGAGTTTTTTTCCATTTCAACCGGTGCAGTATTCGGTCCATTCGCAGGTCAGAAGAAATCTTCAGTCCCGACAGCCTTTGCTTCAGGAGGCTGCTGCCCACACCTCAGCCATCTCGCTTCTCAGCTCCAACACCTGAGCCTGCTGGCGATAAAGCCAGCGAGCTTTAAATCAGAAATGGGTGGGTCAAACCCTTCTGGCTGTTGCGGGGGCTCCTGATTGCCCAAAGCTTTCATCAGCTCACTGAGGCCCCAGCTCTTGGGTCTTCTGCACCTCACCTTCCACGCGCTTCAACCAACCGCATGCACCTCAACCAGAAAAAGCAGACCTCGATGATGTGTTTCAGGTCTCTACGGCAAGGAAGGTCTTACGACGCAAGTCTAGCGGGTCGCGGACTCCAAGACAGGCGTGCTCCCGGGAGCCCCGAAAGCTCCGGAGCTCGGACCCGATCCGCGCCTCCGCCTTCACTTCCCTCGGGCCTATCCTGCGCTCTCAAAATCTAGCCAGAAACTCACGAAGCGAACAGCTGAAAACGGCTGAAACGCGGTATCTTGGTATCTTGGCCCAGGCCCTTCAACCCCCTCTCCCCCCCCCCTGCGTCGCACTGTTTGCCCGACACGGCAAACGGTCCTCAGCACTGCCCACAAAGACCTGAGACTTCAAAGCTAAGGCCAGGTGTTGCAACAGCGGGGCACGTGTCGCGGGAAATGAGTGCTAAAAACTGGGGCAAGCACTCCAGCAAGATCACTGTCCATCGAGATGGAGCCTGGGACCAAACTAGCCAGCGTTGGCGCACATCGACCATCCACCACGGCCTGACTTGCGACTTTAAGCGCGCGCAGCGCGGGCACGATGGTTCAAGTTTTTGCTTGCTCCTTGGTTGTCAGACAGGGCGTGGTCACAGCCTCGCCCTGCGAGCAATTATCGCGATGCAGGCGAAGCGATCCCGGCCACACACGCCACGCCATGTGTGTGGCAGCGATCGAAAACTTCGCCAGAAACGGCCATGTCCAACCTGGCAAACTCGCTGAATTCTCGAAGGAAGCACGCCCCAGCCACCTCACTCCTGCGCGCTCTCAGCTTTCCGCTTCTTGTTGGTCAGGCGCTCAACTTCCTCCACCTTCGAGCGGTCCTCGGCAAGCATGCATGAGCGCGTCTCATTCCCTTTGAAGGAGGCGTCCAAATGCCGGTACTTCTCGGCCAACGCTTCCACGAGCTTGCCGTCGATCTCCGCCGCGCTGGCGAACTTCCAGCATCCCATCTCCTTGTACACCGGGTCATCCGTGTTCCATTGGTTCGAGTTCATGTATGCAATGTGCGCTAACACACCTTTGACGTCCTGCCGAGCAATACCTGGGAATCGGTCGATGAGACTCTCCAGCTCCTTGTACACAGCCACGTTGCTTTGAAGGGAAAACATCGCCTGGCTCACTTCTGGATCCTCTGCGAGAAGCAGCTTTCCCTGCTCCCGGCTCAACTTGAAAGCTGGGACAAGCGGCTTGCCCTCTGCAAACTTGTCCAAGCAGTTGCTTTCCAGCGTCTGCAACTCGGAGCCCGCTGCGACCGCCACTTCGGTCGATTGCTGCAATTGGTCAGCTGCTGCTGCGTGAGGGATCACCAAACGGAGGTCGCTAAGGTCTGCGCTGCCCTTGGCTAACAGAATGAGCGCCGCCAAACTTCTGCCCTTGTTGTCCGCCACTGTCCTCTGCCGGCCACTCACATCAATCAAGCGGAATGGCTCAGCGTTTGACGCTCCTTTGGCCCAGGAGTCCCCCACCAGGATGGCGCTCATCAGGGACAAGTCCGCCATGTTGCAAAAGATTGCAAACAAAGGCGTGCTCTGAAGCCAGGATGTGGCGCAAGTCTATCTTAGCAGCGTGACAAGAGGCTTCAATCTTCCCGTTGCAGCCGTAGGTAACCTTTGGATGAATGGACGGCCTTGGTAATTGGAATAAAGCCAATCTAAACCAGTGCCATCTATTTCTAACCAAGCAAACCTACAAAGGACAATTATGGTTGCAGCCATCTTTCGAAATCCTGGCACATCGCACTTTGGGCTCTGGGCTCCAATTCCGCTGCCGTCTCACACGTGGCGGGTTGCCTGCATGTGAATGGCATCACCCAGTCGCCCTGAGGAACAAACTCGCTCAAAGAGGTATGGACAGAGCCGGTGTATTTCAACAGTTTAAGCCCCTTCCCTGAGGGACCGAAGCAGCCCCGGAGTACACAGCCCGCCTTCTCTGCCGTTGGCACCTTTGGCCTGCAGTTCCCCCAGACATCTGTCTGAACTTAACACCCAACCAAATGCAGATTTAAGCAATGCCCTACAAGTCCAGAACTCGGATCAGTGAAACCTGAGCGGCTGGTTCATCCCGCCAATGCAAGCACGATACACTTTTGACATGGCCACAAATTGCCTATCTTGATCCTTCGTGTCTAGCATATCGCCTAAACGTACACAAACAAGGATGCCTTCTTAACGCGCATTTGTCAAGAAGTGAGCTGCAGCCTGCCGATGCTGTTGAGTGGACGTCGCTTGCTGTAATGCGCAAAAAGAAGCTCCAACAGGCCACCTAATTCACACACCGTACAACCAAGGGCCAATCAATTTAACCCGGCATCCAACAGCAATTAATTGCAATGAAAGCAAAATTCAAAGGCCGGCTCTGCCAACATATATTCAACAGTATACCTTTACTCCACCGTTGCACAAAGTGTCTCTGCTATCTGATAGCTGGAAGTGAGGATCTGTCGGCACTGAAGCACATCACGAGCAGACGAAGCATGAAACAGCACAAAGGGCAAAAGTACAACAACACAAGAAGACTCTGGGCAAAGCAGAGCAAGGCAGGGCAAGCCAACACCAACATGCAGAAACGGCGGCTTCTGCATTGCCTGGAACTATGCCTCAAAGATCCGTTGCCCTGGCCTGCGGCTCCTGCTCAGCCCCTTTGGCAATGCCTGGCAGCTTTGCTTTCGTCTGATTCAAGCTGCAAGTCCAAAGGAGCCAGTGAAGAAAAACACAAACTTGTTCATGGAAACAAGTCTTTGAGTCAGCCCCCAGAAATCCGCGGTTGTTCTATCAACTGCAAGTTTGAGCAAGGCGCATGCCTGTACAGTGGACATGCTCATGTCCTTTCTTTGCGGGCGGAGGTTCATTTGGGCAAGCGCTTGTTCCATGAACTGGGCCAGCACCACCCGGCATTGCTGGCACCCGCAACAGCCACCTGATGGACAATGCTGCGACTCCCAGCAAAAAAAGCATCCTGTCACCCACCTCGTTGCAGTATTGTTGCATTGTCTTAGTATGAACTGCGACAGCTGCAACCTTTTGAGCAAGCGTTTTCAGAAAGCCTCTTCTTCTTTGGAACTCTCACGTGGCATCCTGTCGCAGAACTTAAGCTCTGAATTGTTACTTCGGGGTGTGAACAATAAGCACTCATATGCGCAACAGGCAATATTGATGTCTGTGTCACCCAAGTTTAAAGACATTGGGTACTCCCATTGTCATCCTCAAACGAGCCAAAGTCTACGGCAAACTTGTTCGTTGCTCCTGTCCACATAAAGAACACCAAAAAGACAACGCTAGCGCAGGCATATCGAGTTGAAAACACATTTATGTGCTGATCAGCTGCAAAAAACAACAAAGGCCTGCAAGGTGTCAGCTTCATCGCATGAGGAAGCATTGGCTCAATGAGGCTGGTTCAATGGCTGCTGCTTTGCGTAGCTTGAAACATGTTGGTTGTCAAAGGTGAATGCAATAAGCAACTTGGCAAGCATGATTCTCAAACGAGCTTCAACTCAACCTTCGCAACTTCACATGCATTTGTCGCCCCAAAACCTGAGACTGCATGTCAAACACAGCGGCCCTTGCATTCTCCGAACTGATAGCTTTGTTCAAAAGTGCTGTGGCGGGCACGGAAGCAAGTCCTCCGGCTCCGCATCTTCCGCTGCCTGTGCCACGAATGCGACGCACTATCCCGACCGGCTAAGGTAAGTGATTGACAGTGCACAAAACTCGCCTCTTTCCTCCGCCAAACACTTCTGCGGCCATCATAGGCGGCCCTCAGGAAACTTGCCTGTCACTTTGAGTCCCAATCTCAAAGGGCCAAAAGGAAGTTCCCTTCCCACCAAATTGAGTCAAACGTAATTCGCTTCAGGCCCTCAACGCCACACCCAAGGCTGGAACCACACCAGAACGTTGGCGGACGAGGCCGGTAGGTCCAACACCTAGCCCAGAGTGCGCAAACACTCCAATCGAACACCTGCAGGTTGGGCTTAAATGAAGGAAACCACCCATTTTGCGGGTCCCATGTTGACACGTACCAACCTATCCCTTGCGCATGGATTGTCGTCTCAAAGGATCTCGTTCGCCTAATGGCGGGTTCCTCTCGGCATTGGGAATTGTGAATCTTACCACGGCATGGTTTCTGAGAGCTAGCACCTGCCTGCCCTTTGCCAAGCAAACGTGTTCCTGCTGGCTTCCTGTGTCATGGATGCCCAAAATGGCAAACATGCTCACACGGAACTCCAATGCTCTCGTAAAGGAAGGCAAAAGAATGCCACTCGTTGCTCATGTAAGGACCCTGGAGGGTTTGTACCGTTTGCTTCGGCGGAAAGTGGCTGCATGCAACACTGGGCCCTGGGCAACTTGACTTAATCAACTTGGTCCTGGTCCGAAAATGATGTCAAACATTGTAACTTGACGCGCTGCGCAAAAGTCATGTGTTGTGTATGGTACGCATGGTGCATGGTGTGTATTAGAGTAACGTATGTGTGTATGTATGTATGTATGTATGTATGTATGTATGTATGTATGTATGCATGCATGTATGTATGTATGTATCTATGTATCTATGTATCCATGTATGTATGCATGTATGCATGTATGCATGTATGCATGTATGCATGTATGCATGTATGCAATGTATGTAATGTGATGTGATGTGATGTGATGTAATGTAATGTAATGTAATGTAATGTAATGTAATGTAATGTAATGTAATGTAATGTAATGTAATGTAATGTAATGTAATGTAATGTAATGTAATGTAATGTAATGTAATGTAATGTAATGTAATGTAATGTAATGTAATGTAATGTAATGTAATGTAATGTAATGTATGTATGTATGTATGTATGTATGTATGTATGTATGTATGTATGTATGTAATGTAATGTATGTATGTATGTATGTATGTATGTAATGTATGTATGTATGTATGTATGTATGTATGTATGTATGTATGTATGTATGTATGTATGTATGTAATGTATGTATGTATGTATGTATGTATGTATGTATGTATGTATGTATGTATGTAATGTAATGTAATGTAATGTAATGTAATGTAATGTAATGTAATGTAATGTAATGTAATGTAATGTAATGTAATGTAATGTAATGTGTATGTATGTATGTATGTATGTAATGTAATGTATGTATGTAATGTAATGTAATGTAATGTAATGTAATGTAATGTAATGTAATGTAATGTAATGTAATGTAATGTAATGTAATGTAATGTAATGTAATGTAATGTAATGTAATGTAATGTAATGTAATGTAATGTATGTATGCAAGTAGGTAGGTGGGTAAGTAGGTAGGTAGGTAGGTAGGTAGGTAGGTAGGTAGGTAGGTAGGTAGGTAGGTAGGTAGGTAGGTAGGTAGGTATAATGTCTATATCAGACACATACACACATGTCATGATCCATTGACAAGCAGACCTACTCTTGAAGACGGGCGCCTCTCACATGAATTGTTCCAAACAAGGCAAATCCTGCCTTTGCGTTTGCGTGTGTGAATGTGTGAAAAGTGTGTCTTCCGCTTCCTGCATCAAATTGGTTCATACGGTCAGAGCTCAAATGTATCAGAGTTTGTCGATGGCTGCTGACAATATTCATTGTTAACTGATATCCACAAACAGGGTGCACCTTTCTGAACCCCCTTCTGATATGTTGGAGAACCCCCTTTTCGTGAGTGAATCAAATGATTCCCCGTGTTCCCCTTTCAGTAGAGATATCGACCGTTGCTCTAAGCTCGCCGCGGCGTTGCCACAGGCCCAAAGGCCCATCTCAGGCTCCCGTCGCACGGAGAGCACCTGGATCTGAGGATCCGAAGGTCCGGTAGCATGGAGCTCCCAAAATGGAAAGGAGTCCGGATGCATTCTGGCGCCCTGTCTTTAGGGAAAGGTCCGTGTCGCCTCGCATAGCCCCACATCTCTGCCTGCTCGCGACCGCCTTTGCGCGCCAGCCGCGCTGTCAACGGACCAGCTCTTCCCGGACCTTGGGACTGAGAGTCGAGAGATATCTTCCCGAGGCTCTTGGAAATTCGGGGCCCTCTGTGATTTTTGTGGGAAGGTTGGATTGTCCCATGTCCTCCCGATGTTGTCAGCCACTGACTTGGGTCGTGATCAGAGCCGCCTGCCGGGTTGGACAATCACGCTGTTGTCCTGCGAAACGAATGCAACTTGACTGCTTAAGCTCTCCATGTGAGCTGTCCTGCGCATCCAGCCACTCGCCCAAGAGGTCGGTGGGACTGTACCCACCCTCACGAGACAAGCGCCGATTGGCCTGAAGCCTCTACCCCGCTGCTCATTCACGGTTCCGTCACAGGCCAAACTAAATGGTGGACGCTTGTGCTGCGCTTGAAACTGCCGCCCTCAGAACACTCCCACCAAGTACGCAATGACTTGCAACGGAGATCTAAAAAACCATGCTACGGGTTGAGGACAATGTCCATCCACACCCAATAAGGTCCAAGTAGACGGAAGTTTGGACCCGGCCAGGCCAACCCTTTGATCATTGCAATAGTTCAAACAACCTCCTCTTGGTTTCTCCCTTGAACACAGGGCAACCAGGAGCACCTCCTTCGAAGGGCTTCTCGTCCAAGGGCAATGTTCGCCCCCAACCGTACGCCACCCTCACAACCCGACCCTCACAGGCCTTGCCACCTGAGCCCTTCGCCTTGGCCATTGAAAGGAACCATCCGCTTCCCAGTGACCTATATAGGTAGCTAAGGGAACCCAATTTTCAATACAAATCGCTGATTACGCTCTATAGCTCTAGTGGGATCCACCGGGCTTGAGAACCCGACGTTGCTGCTCCTTTTGCTTGCCACGAAGAGTGGACCAATTTCCAGGAATTGACAAATTTGCTGCTTTCCCTCACTGGAAGCCTGAGTCCCTGGCTCTTGAGCCTGGCTGCGAGAAGGTCTCCAAAGTGCCTTCTATTGTAGGGTTTCTTAAAATACGGGTGCCGCCCCAATGTCAATCATCACTCACACTGAAACCACATTTCTACGTCTCCCCCGGCTCCGGCTTCCGAATCCGGGCTCGCCTTCCCATTCGCCTGCGGTATGCAACGAAGGTCGCATGTGAGTCACAACCACCCGACACTAAAGGAGTCTGCTCAAAATCAAAAGACTCAAAGGGCTGCGCCCATTTCTGGTTCACTAACCTACATCTGTAAAGCGTTCTTCTTGAGATCTTCAGCTTCAGTGACTAAGACCTGCCTCCGTCTTCCTCCGGACTGCCCTTTTGAGCCTCATTCACCATTTCGAGAGCAGCAAGGAGGCTTGATTCCTTCCGGGGTGAAACATGTGAAGATCCAAACGAGATACTGTATTCAGAGTGCCCCTCACTTCTTTCCGCAGCATTCAGGGCATGGCCCATTTTCCTTCTCCTTTCCTTCGCCTGCAGCCACCGCTGTCACAATGTCGAACTGAGCCCCGAGACTGAGAGACCCACAAGTTGCGCCCACAAGGCTTCTCTCGCAAAAGGGGGGAGGAATGCTTGTTCTCTTCACTTGAAATACACTTCAAGCCCGGCACAAGTGTCTGGCTCCGCCGCCTGCCGCGCCCTTTGCCCTTTCCTTGCCACTCTTGGCCTCGCGCACCGAACCGGCGGGTCTGTGTGGGTACAAAAACAACTACAACGGTCAAAACTGAGGTTCCATAAACGTGAGGCAACCATTGGTGCAAAGGCCAAGCGAGTGCGTGTCGTCAACCGGACATCCTGCACCTGTCGGCTCAACTCATGCCTGCCTTCACGAGCTTCCCTTGGCGCATGCCAACGCAACCTCAGAATGGAGATTCAGGCTCTGTCGCAGCTAATGTTTGCTCTCTCAGCTGTAGCTTGCAATCGAGGGTACCGGCAAGTGTGCATGCGCTTAGCACCGTGCTCCGATTCGTCCACCCAGGGTGGCGTAGACTCCTACGGCAAGCCGTGCCCGCCAGCCCAACATGTCAGTGCCATGCAATCCACTTCAGGGGGTCGGCGGTTTGGGTGCTGCTCTGTTTTGGTAGCGGGAAAAGATGCAAAAAGCACTTGAGAGTCGTGTTTTGTGCGAGGACCTCATGCTACCCCTATCTGTGAATGATCACGAATGCCGCTGCATCCAAATTCCGCTGCGCCACACTTTCCAAATGCACACACGGACAGGACCTGCCTCATGCTCGTCCTGCTTGACTGGCCTGCCCCTGGCCTTCTTCTCACCTCCAGGGTTTCAGAGCTTCGTCTATCTTGAGCTCGAGAGTCAACACGCCAAATGATCCCAGATGGCTGTCAGTCAAAATCGGTGCCCAAAAGGGAACCCTGGTAAGTGAAAGAGTGGATTTATTTTGGCCTATGCCCAGATGGTGGGCTTCCCATCACGGATTTCTGATTATGACGTCTGAACTGCCAACGTCACAAGTATCCTCACACACGCGTCCCCTTTGCCTCGCACGTCACAAGAACTCTTGTCTCTGCATCTCAGAATTTCAAAAACTTGTCGGATGGCCAACTACAAAGTCAACCCCAACTCCAGATTGACGCAGCATGCTGTGAGCGGGCTAAGGCTGGCATCCACAACAACCACAAATGGAAGGCCAACTGGGGCAACAGCCCTGAGATTCGCGTCGTTTCGACTTGCCTGGCTGCCCAGGCAGCAGTGGGGGCCAGGCCTGCCGGTCTTCCATTGGCCTCGGAGACTGCCAGAGCTGCCATGTGTCGATCCAGATTCTGAGTCAAAGACATCTTATCATTGCTGTTGGGGACTCAAAATGCCTTGCGAAGGAAGTGGCACTTTGCATCGGCAACCTACATCACGCAACGGTCGGCAAATCCCCTCTGCACATTAGCCCGGCCAGAGCGCGAAACGGACAGGTCTGTCCCTGTCGAAGTAAAAACAAGGTCAAACCACCGAGCATCCATCTTACAAAGCGCAATAAAGCCCAGAAAGCAGGCGGGAGCCGTCAAAGAAAGGGCGCTTCATGTTGGACCATCTCCCGGCCAAGGCAGGTTGAGGCAAGCTCAAAACCATTAAAACATGTCAAGGTGCGATGTGTTTCATGCCTACAGCGTGTTGGAACCGTCAAAAGCACGTTGAGGCTTGGGCGCTAAATGACTCATAGCTGCACAGCCACAAGTGACCTGGTCAGTGAGGATAAGCACAGTGTGGAACAGTCGCTTGCTCAATGCCAAATGTGCTTGATGCAGTGCGCAAGAGAAGGCTCTGGATTTGAATCCATTTGTTCAGGGCAGAACGGGCAACCAATTCTGAAACCAGGCCAAACTCTGTCAAACATGCCGGGCCCTCTGCCCTTTGGCAGCCAAGCAAGTGGAAGCATCCCCCAGTAGCGGCTGGGGAATTCCCGACTCGCAGCTGACAGCCAGCAAAGGAAAGGGCAGCATGAACTGACGAACCAACTGGATGGCGGGACAAATAAACCACGATGTCTGGACTTTGTACATCCAGCGGAGTGTGGTTTTAGCTCTAGCAGGCTCAAATCCTGAAGGAAGCATCTTGTGTCAGCACTAGTGCAACGAACTTGCGTTGGTGAAACCATAGACATCTGGTCACACTTTCCAAGCATAGCAAGCAGTCGCCAACAACCGTACCTATTTCTATTGAGACGGCCTGCTGTGCCAGGCGCAGATTGCATTCGCACCAGTTTTCCTCGCCCTTTCTGCTACTACGTCGGACCACTGGCGGTTGATCATAGTTGCAACGTGGCATGGAATTGCCATGTCCGCTTCTCTGTGTGCAGTGAATCTTGATTGATACACTGGCTTTGTGCAGCTCCCACTAGTTAAAGGTGTTCAGAATTGCCACAAACATGCTCGGCCTATAGACAAGTGAAACCTGTGTTTGCGATGTGCATCGCCAAGCTCCCGAGTTTCTGCACCAACTCCTGAAACAGCAAGAGCTCCCTAGACATGTTTCAGTCCAAGACAGGCTGGTGCACAAACCCGAAACCCATCCCAGGCCCGCGTCTCATCTTTGTGTCGCGCGCTGCGACAGCCCAAAGGCACCTCGGTGTGAGCAATCCCAGTGTTGTGGCAGTGGGGAACTGTTCCGAATTCCGAAAAGAAGAACGAACCAATGAGTTGCAAGTGCACGGGCGCTTGGACCAATCCAACTCTCGAACCTTGAAAACAAACAAACCCCAGGACGAGAAGCAAGCGGGGATGCCGAGACAGCCGAGTGGGCAGTGTGCACCGCACGCGTTGCAATGGCACACAAGCCATCTTAAAGTTGACCACGGCACGGCCCATGCCTTTGCAATGGAGAGTTCTGCCTGGATCAGTCTGGCTTTCTGCAACATGCGTAGATCTATAAAAGACCTGCTCTACTTGACATGCTGCAAACATGTCAAATATATCTTAGCCAGCGAAGAAACTGCCCATCCCCATACTTGAGAGCACCCATGGCATAGATGGAAGCAGCACAGAATTGCTCGAGGCGTCGTTCAGCAGGTATTCACCTGCACCTGGATCAAGAAACAATCGAAGATCGAAACAGAAACAGCCACGCAAACACTGCACTCTGCATCCGACACAAATACCCCGAAAGATCGGACAAAAGCAGGGCTTGCCTGAACTGCACCCATCAGAACCCTCTCCAGGCGACACGTTCACAGCAAGAGCTTCAGTCCACTCGCTGGCTCTTGGGGCCCGTTGAAGGCATTTAGGGGAAAACCCTGAAAACAAAAACGCAGCTTGCGCTATGACAAGGCCGCCGGTTGTATGTGAGATCCGGCCACTGGCATATGCACATTCGCGGCTTGCCTTTCTGAACAGAAACATTCTGACAGATTGACTTGCCACCCGCGTCCGTCGGCCTTCCATGCCACATCTGGGCGACCACCAGCGAGGAAATTGTCGACGTGCTCACAAGATCTTCGCAGACGGCTGAAGGTAAGGAGGCCCGTATGCTCTTGCGAGTGCGTGCCCTCTTGTGCGACAACAAAACTTGGTTTGTCTTCCTTCTCTTCAGCTGATTAGGACGTTCCAGTAACACAAACAGGACGATTGAGACATTAAGAAACGTGGCATGAATCTTGCAAGGAAGCCCACAATGGTTTTGTTTGTCCTGCCTGATGACCAACAAATGCTTCTAAATTTGCATGGCAAAACTGAGCTTGCACGCTAGACTGAAACTTCTCTATCACATTTTTTGGAACAAGCAATGCTGGGTAGGTGTTGAGTAGGGCTAACCCCACCATCAGCTCCAGGCAACTGGACTTATCATTGCAACAACCTCGTTGATGATGGCCAATTGGTTTCGCTAGTCACTCAGGAAGGCACCGGACATCGAGTCCCATTGTCCCTCGAGGATTTGCACTCACGCGCGCGGCGAGACTCGCAACGCACTTGGCTGGTTTGTGCCCGGCCTTGTCGCCCGCGACACCCTGCCTTGAAGCACACAAAAGGCACGGGACATGTGAAAGACTTGGGGCTTCATAGGGCCTACCGGCCTATTTATTAATCTGCTTTGGAATCTCAAGCCCTTGGCACTGGAGATGCCACACCCCGAAGCAAAGCATTGTGCGACAGTTGTCGGCCAACCGGGCACGGCGACAAGGCATTTTGGTCCTTCCACGGTGCCTGGTGAGCAAGTCACAGGCGTCAGTCACGTCACGGCGCAGAGCCACATCCGGCCTTGCGCCTGGACTGCTCACTTCACGGCCAAGGGACACGCTTCAACACAAAAAGCACATCGAGAGGCCCTACCTTGCCTGCATCTGTTCACTTATGTCTCAGCTAAACAAACCTACTCAGAATTCAGTTCTGGTCAACCTGGAGCAATTAAAGGCTCCTTGAGCACACCAAAGCACGAGCTGTCCTGCACTGGCAACATTGTGCCGCTCCATGAGAGATGTCAGCTTCTTGCACTCCGCGATGATGGGCAGTGTGCCCTAGCTTTGCGCTAGTGCCAAGTCTCTTCCCCTCCAGAGAGAATGGGGGCTCATGCTTGTTCCACATGCCACATCGCTGAAGTGACAAATGAGAAAAAGGAGCGGCCGCTCAAACAACACACCCGAACACAAGGTGCTGGCACTCGTCTGAAACGGGCCACTGCGCCGCCTTCCCCAAGTTCAGGAAGCGGCTTGAAGCTCCGGGCGCCGGAAGCTCTCTCTCCCTCTCTCTCTCGGACACGGCCATGTTCGGGCACGGAAACGGGAGGAACAGTGGTTTCCATGCATACACCCACTCACCGAAACTTGCTAACCCGTTCCGACACGGAAATCACCTCAAGGAAGCATCTTTAGCTTAACTCTGGTACTGAGCGGCTGCTCTTCCCCAAGTGCCTTCAAAAGTTCAACACGGGACCCGCGCAAGGACATAAATCCTGTCGGTGGCAGCCCACTCCCCCTGCCGGCTCAGGAAAGCACAGTTGGCCCTTCAGGTGGATGGCCAGCTTGAACTGGGCAGGCATGAAGGATCCGTTCGCCTATCAGCACACCCAAGAGTCTTACGAGTCTTAAGAGTCTTGGGTGTTCTTGCAAGGGCTCGCCCGTAAAAAGCCAAAGCCCTGTGATTATCTTCGTCTCTCGCACCACATCTTGGTCACCCCGCGAGTCTCAGTCCCTTTGGGGCTTGAAGAAGGACAGCTCCAACGCCTTTCACAGAGGGAAGCGCTCAAGGGCACTCTTGCACGACAGCTGTGTGATGGGGTGTGCGGGTTTTGTCGTTTGTTGAGGGTACCCCTTTTTGTACAAGGAGTCCATGGTAGGGGGTCCCTCAAGAAATGACACACTCATGTGTGTGTCTGCTTGTCTTCCTATTGCCCGGTCATGTGGAGGGCTTGAAATCTTCCAAGCGGGCAACGATCCTCCCAGGCCTCTGCAGGCTTGATCCTGTCCTCCGGATCAAGCTGGCAACACTTGCTGACCTCAGCGACTGTCTCTTCACGCCTGACTCTTCACGCCTCAAGTGTGCCACAGCAAAAGAGCCCTGCAAAAACTCCACACACGGAGCTGTCTTTCACACCGGAGTAACTGGGAGTCCAACATGTATCACCTTGTCACAACACGAAGCCAACACGGAGCCGGCAAGGGGCTCAGGGCCCAAGGGGCCCCGGCCAGCTCCGCCAGCTGCACGACCCACTTCTCGTGGTCTTTGCGCTCCACCCCCGCGTTGGGATGCTTCAGCTCCGCCTGCGCCCGGGGGGCCCGGAGGGCCCGGAGGAAAAGCAAATGCGGGAAACCAAAAGGAGCCCACTTCGGGCGTCCCCCTGTTCTAACATACCCCCATCTTTACATTCTTTACATGTTGTGCCAGCAAAGCCTTGAGCGGTATCAGCCAACCCTGTCATGCAAGTGGAGTCAACCTGCAAGCCCTTACGACCTTGGGAACTTGCCACTCAGGCACCGTTTCCAGCGCATCCTGTGCTACTCAGCCTGAAGCAAGTTCAGCACTGTTCTCGTTGGCTTGGACCTCGAAGCTTGCAAGCTTGTGGCTTGCGGCTGGGCAGAGATGCCGTGTGCTTGCAGAATGTCTCAAAATGTGAAAGAAACATAGTGAAATATGTCGAAAGAAATGTCCCATAGTGAAGTGGTTTGAAAGAAAGGGGACCTGCGTGAAACCAACCATTGCCCCCCCCCATTTCGTAAGGGCTGCGGCAGTTGAATCACATCTGGAAGCCCTGTGATGGAGTCTGGATCCTGGAACACAGGACACACACCAAAAGCGCTTTGGGTGACAGCACCCACAATCCTGGCTCATGAAGTCACCATTCTGGTTGAAGTGCTTCCTGCAGTGCGAAACCGCCACATTGCTCATGTGCCTAATTGACCCTCCGAATTGCTCTCACTGAAGGAAACGCTTGCGAGGTGCTTGAGATGTGCTGAAGCAAAATGGCCATAATCCGATGCTAGAGTTGCAGCCCAAATTTGACCCCAACAGCGAGTCCTGGCAAACTCGCCCACGGTCCGCATCCTCTCTGGGAACTTGCCCATGACGGTGATCATTTTGCTCATCTGAGTGCATCGACGTTTTGGTCAGGTCTCCAAAGATCCACACAAATAGTACCCAAACTCGACAAGAAAGCTTCCACTACCAATTGCATCCTTGACGTCGCTTCAGACTCTAGACATTGCGGGTATCTTCACAAGTGGCAGCATCAAGGCAAGGCCGCATGAAAGCTACTCAGCACGCGACCATCTGGTTGTTGGTCTTCCCTGTGAAGAGGATCTTCCCCGTGGACAGCTCGTAAACCGTGGTGCCTCCCACTTCCATCGCTTTGCTCAGGACATCGGCTCTCCGGATATGAGCGCATGCCCAGCCTGCGCTCCACATGTCAATCCCCATGTCATAGGGTACTCCGAGCATGATATCCGGAGCGCGATAGTATCGAGGCTGCAAGTACCTCCAGATCAAACGGACTGGTCGTTTCTGTGCACGGTGCTTTGTATCAGCCCAAATGCACTTGGACTTATATTGTAACACATGACGGCATTCCCATGGGGTACGCCGTCTTTACCTGCTCGGATGCGTCCATAGCGCTGCCGAAGTCGCATATTTTGATCTCAGCCTGGCTGCACTCCCCGGAGTAAGGAAAGCTATCAGACCGTTGAATCTACAAATCACAATAGCTCCCCTGGGAACTCCTATGCACAAATTGCCTCAGCTCCGCGAGAAATTGCTGTTCCACGTGCATATTAACCTTACACCCATCTTACGCATTATTCCCAAATGCTGGCCTTGTCCAGTGCAGCAATTTCATCAAAGGCTCAGCTCCCAAGGATGCTCGTCTGCTTGCTCTACCCTCTCGGAGTACTGATTTGACTAGCATCACAAGATGCGCCTTGCTCAACGTCATCAAGATGTTGTCTGGCTTGAGATCAGCATGCATCACCTGAATGTCTACCGCTCATGTCTGTCTTTTTGAGGCTACCCTTTCTGGGCTGTGTTTCAAGGGAAACCAGTACTTCGGAGGAGAAATAACACTCGATATGGCCTTGGCTGTGCGCAAAGCTCGCAGCCCAAGAAAGACTTGCCTGGCAACATCAGTGTCAAGTGCTTGAAGCCTGCATTTAAGCAGAAAGTGTCTAGAAAAGTTCAGAGAGGCAATTGTCCGAGCGAAACAAGGCGTGCTTAACATGTGACAAAGGTGCCTCACGTACTGCTGCAAGGTAGGCAAAGGCAGACCGCCGCCCATGCCGTACCTGGAACCAATCTTGTCACAAGTTGCCAAAACATGTCACGCTCGGACGGGACCTGGACATGGCAACCCATGGGCACTTTTGCAGGGCGAAGCGCATGTCGCACTTTAAGAGGTCAAACACCAGACCTGGCGTGATCCGCTGGTAGCTGCCACATACAGTCAAAAACAGCTGTTCACCCAAGCTGCCGGCTCAAATGCCCGCAGTGCTCAAAGGTCTGCACATCTATCAGGGTGATGATGTGCTTGAAGCCCTGATCCGGACATGCGGCATACTTGCCACCAGCTTTTCCCTGCGTTTGTGTCTCGAACCTCCTCCTCCCCAAAAAAAAGCGCTCCTCGTCCTCCGCGGAGACCTTCTCCAAGCGCTTGTACATCTCCACCTGCGGATTTGGAGAGCCGTGCGCGAGAAACGGTTACTGAGATCCTGTTGCAGGTCTATACGCCATCGAACACATTCATAAACTGGACCCCACGCAAGCTTTGACCCCAACAATTCTATGCAGTGTCTTGCAAAGGCGCAAAACATGCTGATGATGAGAGATCATTCCTGTGAGTGTAAAGCTACAAACAACACAAACAACACAACCCACCGCAAGCACACACTTGTTGTGCCTCCTTGTCAGCAGCTCTCCGCATCATGGCATTGGCTCTGATGAGCTTGACAGCGAAGTCTTTGCCGTCCTTGTGGACATGGCAGCCCAAGCCCAATGAACGCCGAAGGAAACAAGTTACACTAGAATGAACTCTCCACAAGTCAGTCCTTCATACCCTTACAGTGATAGACGCTGGAGAAAACCCCTCGGCCGATTGCTGCCTGAGCACCAAACCGCGCGATATTAAAGCAGATGCTGCACACGAGTCTCTGATACCCTGCGGATGACATCCTGAAAATAACGCTACTTTAAGAGAGGAAAAGCAGGGGAGAGCTCACCGTTCAGTTTCCACATCTTGCACCCAGTGACCCCGAAACATGGCAAGCCTCAAATGTGCCACAAGGTTCTTCGATCTCTCCCAAGTATCACTATTACTTGAGACATACTGACTACAATGGCTTGATTCCAAATAGGGAATAAAACTACAGTTGCTGTTGTTGTCAATGTGGCTATGCGTTATCATGGAAAGTGAGAGTTCGAGGTGCGGATGCATTTGCTTAAGAAATGCGTTGTTTGATTGTGTGATTATTTAACAAATTTATGTAGGCATCTCCTCATGATGTCTATTTTAATTTACGGCACAGCAGTTACGATTTAAAATGAAGAGATGCTACATGACCCTCCTTCTACCGCGGTCAATCGCCATAAGATACCAAACAAATACATTAGTATAACGGTAAATAACAAATATCGTTGACTTAACCATCAGGAAGCCTTCGTATCACCATCGTATCTTGTCCGTTCTCGTTGCAGTAAGCATGTCTACCTTATAATCTGTTGTTATGAAAAGGAATTAGGATAATGGGCAACTTTTGGACGGACAAAAACCAATGAATAATCCAAGATACCACATTGTTCCAGTGGTCCTTTTGTAGTGAAACCTATCACCTTGTATAGAGAAGTAGACAATTGGAAATCATGACTGCGAATGATGAAGAAATAGAAGGATTGGTTTGCTGAGTACGAGGGTATTCATTGAGGTTGGTGTGTGTGTACGCATGTGTACATGCATGTGCATGTATGTGTATATGTATATATATATATAAATATTTGCAGGTCTGTTTCTGTGAAGTTGCGCATATGATGTGTATATGTATATGTATATATACATACACATAATATGCATTGTGTGTGATGCATTGGTTTCTAAATGGCGAGCTCTGTTGGCTCTTGTGTGGGCTCATGACGTTGTGAAAAAAGTATGTCCATCAGAATGTGAAACTACCGCGTGTCGATGTAGATAATATGCGTACATGTGTGTGTATATATATATATGTATGTATACAACTGTATATATACATATATATATTTATTTATTTCCCTAACTGGGCGATTGCTCAAACTGAGCATTACATAGATATGTACATTAGAAACAGCGGAAACTCAACAGGTACCGTCCGGTGTGAATGTCTCCATGAAACGAAACTCTGAAGACACACACACACAACACTCCGACTAAACCTCACGTTCAGCAAAGGTGCCAGCCTTTCTTTTTCAACCCACAGGGGATGCGTCTGGGCCTTGCGGCCAAACGGCCAGGGCAAGGCTGTGTGATGGAAACGGATTGCACTCTGAAAAGAGTGGGTGCCCATGTGACATGAAAGGCACAGGCATTTTCTTGACTTGTTAGCTTCTCTTGGGGGAGAAGGAACACAGTCATTCGGGACTTGGGCGGGCGGGCTGTCGATTTCGGTCCTTTGACCAAATTTAAAAGGCACCCACCCACCTCACCCTTTGAGCCACCTGCTCCAATGTAAAGCAAATGACCATGTTCAACATGCTCAACCCAGCTGGTCAAAGAAGCTAATGCGGTTTTCTCCAACCCAGAAAACCCTCCTGACGGGGAAATAAAACTTCATCCCCTACGGGCAGTTGCGTCTTATTTCCCTAACTGGGCGATTGCTCAAACTGAGCATTACATAGATATGTACATTAGAAACAGCGGAAACTCAACAGGTACCGTCCGGTGTGAATGTCTCCATGAAACGAAACTCTGAAGACACACACACACAACACTCCGACTAAACCTCACGTTCAGCAAAGGTGCCAGCCTTTCTTTTTCAACCCACCGGGGATGCGTCTGGGCCTTGCGGCCAAACCCCCTGCAACCTGTAAGGCTCAGACGCCTCCTTGCTGGCGCTCACTTAGCACAACCTTGCGCAAGAAGGCACTTGTCACCTGGCACCTGTTCCCGCCCTCAAACAGCACTCTCCTCTGGAGAGGGTGTCAGCGGGGTTACTAGATGGCGGCACCCTTTCGTACCAAATGAATAAATTCAGGCACTCCTCCGCAGTTCCAACATCATCAATAATCTTCTGCACAAAGGCATTCTCAGTCCAATTCCTCACAAATGCTCCATGAACTCCTTCATTGTCAGTGAACATAACAATGTTTGCGCCGCGAATGGTGGTTTCAAAAAGCTGCAACGACAAGTAAACAGCGAGTGACTCAAGCACAAAGATGACCGTCTCCCTCTCGGTCCCAAAGTTGCTCTGTAGCGCGCGCACCAAATCTTCGGGCACCTGCTCTCCAAACCGTGCCTTGATGTTGCCACTCATGTCGAGAACAAGGCCACCCACTCCAGAAAAGCCGTTTGGAGAAAAACTGGCATCCACATAAATGTGAAAAACCTCAGTAAGCCTGCTGCTCACTTCACGCGGCCTTCCAGCCACTAACATCTGAAGTAAATATTTACAGGCATCCAAAGCCCGATCAGAAAGTCTACCTCCAGGGTGGCCTCCCAACGTGCGCAAAGCTGTCTTGGCACGGCGTCCAAACAACTGCCCCGAAGCAAACTGCATGCGTCCTCTCAATTTTTCTCCTTCCGCTTTTTGCAAAAATCCTCGCACTATGACCTCTTCCAACGACTGCCGCAACTCTGTCTGTCTCTTCTCAGTGTTGGCCAGGGCAGCTATTCCGAGCTTGAAGTCTTTGAGATCAAGGCGAATACCCAAAACCTTGCAGCACGTGTCATAGGGCAAAAGCTTGTCCTCCGAAACTCGCCAGCCAATCAGATGAAAGAAGGTAGAAATAACGACTTCAAGATGCCTGCTCTCAGTGTCCTTAGCCAGGTGCAGGTAGTCGTCGAAGTAGCACGTCCACAGCAGAGATAAACCCTTGACACCCAGCATCCATATTGCCATTCCACAGCGGATAAATGCGGCAACGCTGGCTCGGGAACCGAAAGGCAGAACCTTCTGGCGAAAAATCTCCGCTGCCTTTGTCAAGTCGCTCAAAGGAACTTGTTTGTAGGCAGCGCTCAAATCCCAACACTTGCATACCATGCCATCGATCCTGTGGCCACCAAAATCAGCCTTGAGCACCGCCGCCAATAAAGCCGCTACCACGTCTAAAGTGTGTACCGGCACCTGCTCCGATTGAGAGACTGTAGCATTGACTGCAGAAGCCCTGTAGTCATCGATGGGTCGGACCTTTCCAGCCTCACTCTGGACCACTCCAAAACGCGGTGTCACAGTTGCATCCGCTGGCAGCTGAAGCTCAGGCACCGGGCCCTCCGCAAAGCCTCGTCTTACTTCCGCCAAGGTAGCATCATAAACTCCCTGATCCACTCGGGCATCACCTGAGCTCTGGATAGTTGCCAGCGTCGCCCGTCTCATAAGCCGGGCCCCCGAACGAAGCGCTGTCTCCGGCATCTCTGCTGGTCTATACTTGCTTTGAAACACACCAGACCGTGGAAGAACACCTGTCAAAGAAAACCCTTCCATGATCTCCGGGACCAAGCTGGTGTCCTGATGGCCAATCTCTTGCAACATTTCCTGAAAGACCAGCAGTCTCTTATCTGACAACACTTCGCATTGCTGAGGCTGGCTTTGAGACTAGCCTCTTGACTCCGGAGTTCAACTGACCGAGACACCCAACGCTTGATGTACTCCGTTCTGCCTTGCCCCGAAAGGAACTCCGAAACAGCAACATTGTACTCCACTGCTGCAGCCAACTCCTTCGGCAGCAAGTTCTCCAAATGGCAAGGGTGCCTGGCTTTGAGGGCCTGATTCACGAACTCCTGAGGCTCCCAGTAAATTCCAAAGGTGGCTCTTGCAGCACTCGCACCTGAATCCCCCAAAAAGTGGTGAGTGCTGAGAACCTGACTGCTGGCAGGAATGTCAGCCAGCGCTGGTTCCGCCTGCCCGGTGGTCGGCACCGGCCAAGGTTGGGACAGCGCTCCTTGGGTCTGAAGTTGCACTGAAAGGAGCCGGTCACCATGCAAATCATCTTGTACTCTGGAACTAACGGCAAAATACGCTTGTTGCTCTGCAACCCGGAGAAGGCACGGGCATTGCGAATAGAATAAGAGACCTCAGGCAGACAACTGGGGAGCTTCTGAAGACCACATTGCACCAGTTGCTCAAGCAAAAATTCGCTCACGGCCTTTGCCAACGGCCATGGGTACGCGGTTTCTTGAGCAGTGGCCCACACATGGCCAGATTTGCCCCATTTGCTGCGCGTGTGGCTCCTGTCGCATTCTCTTGCAAGTTGCAAGAAGGAAGGAACTGCATGCACCAGCAACGTGTGTTTAGCTCTGCGGCCTCCAAACATGCAATGGTGAAACCTGGTGAAGAACGCAAAATGCTTCTTGAAGAAATGCCTCCACGGTGAAGTCATCCACATAAAACTGCGAGCAGGATTTTCGACTGACCAGAAAATGCCCTGCTCATGCAAAAAGGCGCAAGCATCTGCAACCAACTGATACAACGTGTTTGCTTTGCAGACCCGCGTCAAATTGGTTCCTTGCAGAGCTAATCCCATCGGGTGCTTTGTCACTTCTCATCAGTGGAGGCGCTCCTGGAAATTGGATGAGTCTGGCTCTGGACGCCGTTCCGCAAGGGGGCGCGAAGCGGCAGTAGATTAAGGCAGGCCCCTTAAGGAGCTGCCAGAACTGTTCCTGCCTTACTTGTGTTGTGAGATCAAGTGTAATGCACGGTGAGCAACTCTTGCTGGAGAAACAGTCCACGCCGTAGCTGCTAGTGAAACCAATTTTGTGCAGGCTAGCTGCAAGGCGCCCTGTGCCCGAGAAGACCTCCAAACAAAGAAGCTCAGACGCCTGACGCTGAGCCACTCTGCGCATGACTCTGCCAAGAAAGCTGTCATTAACTTCCTGCAGACTCACAGTCGGAATTGTCTCCTCGGGCACTGAATGTCAAGCCTTCTTGTGCTTGAACGAGGGATGAGCCTGGAAACATCCTGGCTCTGCACAGACATGAGCCCCTTTAGGGCAGTCATTTGCGGCGTTGCTGCAACCTGAAGGCAAGTTGTAACTCCAACAGATGCGACCTCCTGAAGGAGTCTCATGTGCTTTCCCAACCAGCTCTTTCGGGACCCTGAGCTTGTTCTTGCTCTTGCCGCCCCCCTTGCTCTTGCCCTTGCCTTTCTTGGGGGCGCTCTGCTCCGAATGTTTGGCGGCTTCCTGCGCAGGCTCCTTTCGCTTGGTCTGCCCTTCCCCCGACAAAGGCAACGGCAATAGGTGGAAGCACACTTGTGGGTCCTGCAAGATCCGTGAAAGCTCAGCATCCAGTGGTCGGGATCCATCTGCATTCCTCTTCAAACTTCTCACGGTTTGGGCCATCCTAGTGAAGGCAGCTCGATCCGCCCTCAATAGCTGAATAACTGAAGTGCGGCTGTACCCTGGCGGTGGCTCCTCTTGCATGAATTGCACCAACTTGGCATGGTACAAATTCATCTCGTTGAAACCACAAATCTGCACCAGATCAAAGGCCAACGCACGACGCCTAAGGGCCTGTACCAGTTCCAATTCGGAATTGGTTGGGCAAGTCATGTTCAGCTGCTTGTTTTTAACGGTCAGGCTGTTGCCATCCAAGGATAGCTCTCTAGTCGGCTTCTTGCTCTGCAGCTCTGCCTGGCGCGTTGTGAACTTTTCCGGGCGCAGATAAACAAGACAGTCCTGCTGTTGCATAGCATACACCAGGTTGTACGACTCAAAGGACGGCTCCTCGAATGCAACAACCCTGTAAGCCTTGTCTTTTGCTGGGTGATTCTAGCTTCCCTCTCCGCCGGCGTCAAAGTGGCGGCCGACACATCATCGGACCTCTCTACTTTCTGCTTAAGATCTGCCACAATCATTGTTTGTGACTCAAACAGAAAAACGCCTGAGTGCGGCTAGCGCGCCACGATTGAGGGGGGTGCCTGCGAATAGGGCATTGATGTCATCATGAGACACTGGCTCCCCCGGAGGAGAAATAGCGAAGGCTAGCTTGGCAAGAGGTCAGGGACATGGCTAACACCCGAGTCACCTACTCAGGTGGCTAGACAATCGGACTGTCTGAGTTAACTTAGAGCACCTCTCTGCACACAGTTGACCTTGCACCTTGATTGTGTGGGGTCACCTACCCCAACTGATGAGCCATCAAGCACTTCTGGCACGGTTCACTTAACCTAGCTCGTTGGCCACTGCATGCCATATGATGACAGACCTAAACCTGAGGCACGCTACGGTGGCTCAATTTTGGACTCATCAGCCTGTCAAGTCGTGAAACGCTGCACATGCACTTACACACCCGCTCGGCTTCTAGCAGCATGGACCTCTTCGAGGGCTGCTGCCAGTGACTCTTCGTCTCTGAGCGGTTTGGCCAGGTCGCACTGCTTGCACCTTCGCAAATCAACAAACGCGCTGCTCTGACATTTCTCAAAGTCAGCCGTTATTTTGCGGCCACACGAAAACAACTCCTTTCTTCCTTGTCTGGCGGCAAAATGAAGGGTTTTAGTTCTCTTGTGCCTGTACATGTCCATGCCAGGCTTCCATCCTTGCCTGGGCAAAGACTCAGATGCCTCAGCAGGCGCCTGGCAAACTTCAGCCTCCTCATCCGAATCCATGGAGTCGGAACTGCTACTTTCAACCGAGGAATCTGAATCCACTGGATCCTGTGCTGCTGGCAACGGTGGCTCACTCACGGCCTCAGCAACCACATCGTCGAGCTGTCTGCCTGGTTCCTCAGTATCAGCGCCCTCCGCCTCGGACTCGTGCACCTCCAGCTTGACAACAGCGCTGAACCTCCCTGACCGAGTCAAGTCAGGATTGAAAGCTCCATGACGGATGGACCCCAACATGGCCGTGTACTCACGCAAAGGAGCCGCAAGTAGATCTCGGGAGTATGCGTTTAACGAACCATCACCTGCTGAGTGGTGTCCAAGTTGCAACCGAAAATGGCGGCTCATGCCATAAATTGCCGCCCAACTTAAACTTGTGGCCTTGAGTGAATGAGACTGCACTCCGCCGGAACTGCAGCCCATCTTAGTCAGCAACTGTTGGATCCAGATAGATGCCTCGCGGGAGGTAACCGGCCTGTTCATCCAGCTTCCAGCCTGATCGGGAGCGGGCAAAACTGGTCCTTCAAAAGCGGAATCCAATTTCATCTTCAGCGCAGCTGCAACCTTGAGAAAATCCAACCCCCAACAACCTTGACCAACGCCTCTGACCGGGGCCACAAGTGGCATCGGCAGTCCTGTCCTGGCGATAGCCTTGGCCGTCTTGTGAGTCCTGGTCCGGCATTCCAAATAGCCTGTACCAGGATCGCCAGTGTCAGGTATATCTGTAACCCAACCATATACATTCTGCAGGTCCGACAAACGGCTGCGGGAGTAAATAGCAAATAAGAAAGCCCCAGCTGCGTAGCGGTCAACCAAATTGGTGTTGGTGTCCATGACCATGCGTTCCAGAGCATTTACCTGATTGACCGTCAGCACCTCACTCTGTTGCCGCTCGCTACGCTGGTTTGTGCGAAGAGACACCAAACCTTTGGCCCAGGGGCTCCACAACTCTGCCTCGCTGTGAACTCCGACAACATGACATGCAAAATTGACCGCCTCCACAAAACTAGTGAAGGACCCAGGTTTCGCGTTGGACTGTTGCAAGGACCTCAAGTACTGTTCAACGTGTTCTCGATGAAATGGCAGCGCAAGTGAAAATGAGTGGCGACCGTGCACCCAGGCGAAAAACCTCAAAAGAGCATTGCCCCTCTTGACCACTGTGTTGACGCTCTTGTTTCCAAACAACTCGCGGAGAATCTGCAAACTTCTCTCTGGCTCCTCTCCGGACATCATGATGCCAATACCTGAGGACCCAGGCTCTTCCATGATGCCACTTCCGGTCCTCGTGCTCCACACGAGTTTCTACACAGGAAAATTGTATTGCGCGCAAATATGCACGGTCACATTCTCCTGGCTGCTCAGTAAGTTTCTCCACGGACTTCTGAATTGCCACGGCATCTTCAGCAGTTTCAAGTTTGCTAGGAACAGGACTGCAGGAACTACCGAAGAACTGCCAAACACGAGGTTCATGCCCGGTATCTCCCATGGCATCTTGTAGTCCAAAACTGTTCGTCCAAAGGCCGCACCCGCATCCAAAACTGCACTGCTCAGATGTGTCAAGTCAGATGGCTCGCTTACGTGCTCCTCTTTGAAAGGTTGAAACGAGCCTTCTTGGTCAAAGGACCTGAGTCATCTTCTGGACCATTAGGAGCACCATCTGAATGCAGGGACTCCACCTCATCAAGGTCCTCTGGCAGGGAACGAGCAGAAGGAACCGTCCAAGCAGCCTTCTTCAAAGGCAGGCAAGACGGGCATATCCATGGCAAAACCCCTGCTGTCGATTTCGGTCCCTTGGCCAAATTTAAAAGGCACCCACCCACCTCACCCTTTGAGCCACCTGCTCCAATGTAAGGCAAATGACCATGTTCAACATGCTCAACCCAGCTGGCCAAAGGGCCACCTATACAAGCTAATGCGGTTTTCTCCAACCCAGAAAACCCTCCTGACGGGGAAATATAACTTCATCCCCTACGGGCAGTTGCGTCATACGTGTGTGCTATATTTTGTGTGTGTATATACATATATATTCTGCATATATTCACTTTGAACGTGCTCATGCACCCCTCCGCGCATGGAGGATGCTCCCAGTTCCCCGAATCCTCTTAAGTGGTTTCTAATACCCTAAATAGATTGATGACGGCGACCAAAACCAGTAAACATGTGTCCGAATAGGGTGACCCTACAACAAAGCTCGCTGCTCGCCTCTACCTTGTAGCGGCCGGCCAACTCCTCTCCCACTGAAGCGGAGTAGTACCTTCCGGCGAAGGTTTGGCTTTCCCTCATACGCGGCCCTATCTTCTCTTTCCACAAGCAGCTTTGGTGCCCAATCAGCGATCAGCGGAGAAAAGTCGGTGCAAATCCATGGGAATATGGATGAGGATGCCAAACATCGGAGCCTTGACCGGAAGCGAACTCCTTTCGGTTGCAACTTGGGTGAAACCGTGGGCCTTGCAAATTCGCTTTGGAAAGCCTTGCATGCAAACAAATGCTTTATTGAAAAACAAAAATGCTCTGTGCCTGCGCGCGTGCGCGTGTGCGCGTGTGCGCGTGTGTGCGCGCGTGCGCGTGCGCGCGTGCGCGCGTGTGCGGGCGTGCCGGGCGTGCGGGCGTGTGCGGGCGTGCGGGCGTGCGGGCGTGCTGGCGTGCGGGCGCGTGCGTGCGTGCGTGCGTGCGTGCCTGCGTGCCTGCGTGCCTGCGTGCTGCGTGCCTGCGTGCCTGCGTGCCTGCGTGCCTGCGTGCCTGCGTGCCTGCGTGCCTGCGTGCCTGCGTGCCTGCGTGCCTGCGTGCCTGCGTGCCTGCGTGCCTGCGTGTGCCTGCGTGCCTGCGTGCCTGCGTGCCTGCGTGCCTCCGTGCCTGCGTGCCTGCGTGCCTGCGTGCCTGCGTGCCTGCGTGCCTGCGTGCCTGCGTGCCTGCGTGCCTCCGTGCCTGCGTGCGTGCGTGCGTGCGTGCGTGCGTGCGTGGGTGGGTGGGTGGGCGGGCGGGTGGGTGGGTGTGTGTGTGTGTGTGTGTCTCTGTCTCTGTGTCTCTGTGTCTCTGTGTCTCTGTGTCTCTGTGTCTCTGTCTTTGTGTCTTTGTGTCTCTGTCTCTGTGTCTCTGTGTCTCTGTCTTTGTGTCTTTGTGTCTTTGCGTCTCTGTGTCTCTGTGTCTCTGTGTCTCTGTGTCTCTGTGTCTCTGTGTCTCTGTGTCTCTGTGTCTCTGTGTCTCGGTGACTGTGTGTTTTGGGGTACCCCGTAATTTTAAAGGGAAACCGAAAGAAGGAAAGCATCCTCTTAGCGCTCTCCTTTTACGCAAACTCGCTTGAGCGACTTGGTCACTCATTCTCGTCCGTCTCACCTATCTGGACCGTCTGGTGCGTGGCCTTGGCCTCGGTCAACAAACCCTACATTGGGTTTGACTTCAAATGAGAACCCTCAAACCCCGCGATGTCCTGTTGCGCTTTTGTTGCCAATGAAAAGAAGCTCAAAAGGAAGGCCTCAAAAAAGGACACGAGCAAATGAGCGATTCTCAATCGTTCCAAGGGTCAGTATGAGACGTGCGTTTTCGGAGAAGAATTGATCAGACAATCGCTAGCTTTCGTCGAGCGTTCACAAAGCTGTTGCCCAGCTTGCGCGGATTTCCCGTTGGGTTTTCTAGTCTTGGAAGCGTGTCCTTTTGCCGCCTGGGAAAAGTAGTCAACAAAAGAACGATATTTCTTCACTCAGATTGCTTCTGAATGCAAATAGTTTAGACGCTGCTTGCTTGGCTAGCTCGTAATTCGCAACCGATGCTCACCTGAGATGATCGACATAGGCAGGTCTCCAAAAGGGATCCATCTCATCACAACGCGCGTAAAAAAAAATCAAAGGATGCCTAAAGAGTAAAGTTGTCTTCAAGACGTGTCCTTTCCACACGGCTGTTTTGACTTTCCTGTCATCACAACTTGTCCCGACGGCTGGAACCGCAGGCCTTTTCCTTACTCTCCTCAAAGTCAGATTTCGCCTGCGATCCGATCCGATGTCAGAGTGGCAAACGCAAGGCAGGCCTTCACCACAAAAAGGCGCAGCTTGTTGCGCTCCCCCGCGATGCTCTTTGAGAGCCTTGAAACTCATTGGACCCATCCGACCCATCCGACCCATCCCTTCCACTTGAGAAACGCATGCCTATTTCAAAAAGACACACACACACATACCATCTTTCTGAGCGGGAAAAGACCAAAGAAGGGCAAGAGAGTGTACAAAATGAGATCCTGCAACCCTGATCTGAAACAAGCCTGTAGGGATGCTGATATCGATATGCAACAAAGTTCACTTGTATCTTGTGGCCATCCTGGTCCTGGTGCATTGGGTACCGAAATTGGACTTGCAAGCTTGATGATTTGCTCGTGTCCTGCATTGACTGCTTCGTAGCCCCTTCAAAGAACAAAAGTAATTGACGGCCCACACAAGAAGCAGCCAAGCTTGGCTTGCACATACAATGTACAGCAACTATGTTCTGAGCATGCACTGAGACCCCGGCTCTGACAGTTCCGAGCTGCCCAACTTCTTGATAATCTTGGTACCTCTGTGCTTTCGAACACTCGTCTCTGCAAGCCGTTGCCACCCCGTCCAGCCCGCCTTCTTTTGCATCTATCTGGCTGGTTGGCGTTGCCTTACGGCGTTGAGCTGCTCGTGTCCCACTTAAACAGTCGTTTCAGTGGGAACGAATGCAGCAGGCCACAAATACCAAGCCGTTCGAACCGCTGCCCAGGGCCAGTGCCGGTTCTGAAGCTTTGGAACCATCGCCATCCTACAAGTCGCTCATGCACGCAATCAAACTGCAGTGGCATCACTGCCTGGCCACTTCAAACCAAATGGAAAGTGAGTGAGCTTCGCAAATGTAACTTCGTTCCTAGGCTTGCGACCTACGCTGTCATCCCAACTGGTGTTCTATTGGTTCTATGTTTAATGGTTGTGTTACATCTTTTTGGATCGTATTTACGATTTCGATAAGAACCCCACCTTGCGCCCCCCCTCCCTCCTCCCTCAAAAGGCGTCATGTCGTCGGACGTGAAAGCATGAGATGCAAAAACCGTATTAAAGTCGTACTAAAATCGAACTAGAATTGTACTAAGATCACGATGTTAAAACAATTGATAAATACGATGTTAGTACAATGTCCATGTTTGCTTGTTACGACTTGTACGTCAAACATCTCAATCGAAGAAACGTGAAAAGCCGAAAAGGTGCAAAGTAAAACGTCAGACCGGCTTAACAAAAACACGAATGCCATTCATAACAAAATCGCATCCATCCCAAGAAAAACATTCGCTTCCTTTCACTTGGCCTACATCGTAGGTGACAATCCTAGTTTCAAAGGCCAAATCACCCTGCGTGGCCAACTTTCCCGCCTTGCCAGCGAAAACTGCTCGCACCGCCATCCATGGGGCAGGCCTTACGAGACCGGCAGCCTGGAAGGAGAATTGAGGCGACTCGACTGAGGGGCGGGCGCCGCCTTCTTTGCCCGAGGTGCGGCCTCAGTCAACAAGCTTCCTGGGAGTCTGCACTTAGAGAGATGCTGGGCTGTCAACAGCTTTCGGGTGTAAACAAGAGAACCAAACAACCCTTCTGAAAAAGAGCTTCCCAGCACGATTTGGTACATTCAGTTGCTGAAACAAAGTCATTCCAGGTGCCTGGCAGTGCCACTGATGGCAGCAGCTTTGGCTCCAGCAGCGACCTGTGAACGAAGTTGGTCTGCCTCGAAGCCAGGCCCTGAACCGCGCCTCCTTCATAAGGCTTGGCGATGGCATCTTACCCATGGCTTTCAGCCGAGCCTACGGCCAACTTTTCCAAGCCATCAAACCAACCCCAAGTGAAAGCGCCAGTTTCCCAAGTCAAAAACTTCGACCTACGGCTCTTTTTGCACTGGGAGGCAGGCCACCTCCAAGCGAGCGGCGTCCAGACGAGTCGCCTTGATTGTGGGACGCGACTTGCCCGACATGGAACATATGATACATGGAATGACCAATGATGCTGACAAATCAAGAACTTGAGACAGGATCCGTTCTGAGTGCAGCGCTTCAGCCGATCCCTTCGGGTACGGATTTGCCAAGGGGAGCTGATGAGCCTTGCCCCGATCACGCGCCAAGGCTTGAGGAGCACAGCATGAGTTATTCTCTCCGTCGAATACAGCTGTCAACGGTTCGGACAACAGTGCTGTTCTTGGACTATGTCCCGTCAGGAGAATGCTGGAGTTTTGCTCCTGAGACTTCTAGGCTGCCTGGGTAGGAAGTTTGTGAGGCTGACAATTGAAGAGTCTAAAAGTGCCATAGGCCCGGTAGGCCCGGCATCAACATCTGGTCTTTTCAAACTTGACCTCGTCTAGCCCGAAAAGCTGTTCCCTGAATGCTTTCCAGAAGACCGACTAGAAATGGTTTCGCTGTGGCGATGATCGGAGATATTGCAAGTAGAACGGCCCGCCTCGATTGGGCTGAACTTTGATGCCTCCTTCTCTCCATTGGCCTGAAAAGCACGACGCTGTAAAAAAGTTTAGCACAAAGATTTTGTCCTTGTCGGTTCCAGCACGAACATCGATGACTTCGTTGTCAAAGTTTCCATCCTGCACCAAGGCAAAACGCCGCTTCACAACAAGTGCAACTTATCAGTGACTGCAAGCAAACACCAATATCCTTCTGCTCCTTTTTCCTTTTCTTATCCTCGGAGAGATACCACTTTTGCACAGGACGTTCTCTAAACCCCAGTTCCTTCTCACACAGCAAGCTCAACACAAGAGCCGGATCTTGTGTCATACCCCTTGGGCTTCGGCGTCTGAACTTGAGTCCTCCAGCATGCAAAACATACTGCAAAAGGCGACGCACAGCCAGCAGCTTCGTGCCCAGTATCACTGGGCGAAGGGTCGAGTCCTTGTCCTTTCTGGCCTTACGGCCTCGATCGCGTCGCTCACTTCGCCTCATAGCAAAGACCGCGCCATGGCAATCTGTGCGGAGCATGCGCCTGCGCTCGGGCGACCGCCGCCGAACCTCGGCGTGGCGTGTACGAGTGCAGAGACGAGGTGAGGTAGGCATCGTTGATGGCCCATTGCCAAGTTGCTCATATGGGTGCGCATGGTTTTCCTTCAAAACACCAACAAACTGGGACCCTCAAAACAAGACATACCCATATCTTGTGCCACCCTGACATGTGCCATAAGCACATATCCAAGCTAGGGGCTGGAAGTGAGCTAGAACTGGTCACACGCTGGCGCCTGATACGAAGAACAGGATCCAGTAATAAAACCCACCCAAATAATGTATCGTTCCGTGCTCTCTTTGGCTCTGAACACCGCAATTGAGCTTAGTCGCGCCATATGTACATGGTAGACAGTGACAAGTTAACGCTGCATAACACAGTGGTCACCGCAACCGGCCGCATGCAAAAGCACGAAAACAGTTCAAGCACCTGCGCCCGTTGCCATCTCTTCTTCGGCGACTGTCGGAGGAATCTGCGAGGGCGCTAGCTGACTTGCACATGTTCCTTTTGCGAAACTGCCAGAACAAATGTCTCTAACAGTTGACCAGTGTAGCGAGTTTGCCTTTGTTAGTTGCGGGTTGTACCTGAGTTTGTCGTGACAACCAGCAACGAAGCAAACGTTGCCCAGAAAAGCCACCTCGCCGGCGGCGCTTGTCCCTTCCACGCCTGGGAGGAACACAATAACAGCACCTTTCTTTTTAGGAACCAGGCATCAGCGAATCCGGCACTGACAACATGTGCAGTATGGCCACAAAGCACCGAGATACAACAGCGTCACAGGACCAAACTCACCGAGGCTCCGGCGATCGTTCACGATCTTTGGAACGACGCGAGCGAGATCGGGATCTGGCCTTCCTGGCGGAAAAGGGCGTGGTGGAATCGGTGGAATCTCAGAATCACGTGCGGGCGACATCACACACACATACAAGTCTGATGACGGCCGTTCGCACTTTTGGTTCCTTTCACGCAGATGTCTCGAGTGCCTGCTACCAGCTCATGAAGTGTTCTCCAACGCCAAGGCACAATGCCGGCATTCCCAACTCACGAACGCGGCTTCTCCTGCCGATTGGTTCAAGGGTGATTTGAACTTTGAACGTGGCTCAAAAAATATTGAGGTGAACAAGTGCTGCACGCGCCTTCTTGTTCCTGTACAAGGCGCCCAGGCCGCAGCCAGCCACCTGGTTGCGCTGTGAGAGTTGTCACACTCATCAATCAATTGTCCAAAACATCAGGATTGCCTCGCCTTGACCACCTTGAATCGAACGCCGGGGATATCGCCGACCTCAGCTGTCAGCTGTCTGTACTCAGTCAAATCCGCTCGCTCCCAGTCCGAGCACGTGGCTGCGTGCCCTCGACGCCCGAAACCGGAGATGAGCACCTCGTCGTTCTCATCGATGAAATTCAGGCATCCGTCCCTGCGAAACGAATCCTCGACATTGAAACCTCCGCCATTTCTGTTGGTGTGTTGTGCCAAAAACCGAAGCTACAAAACAAAACACATCCACTGTCCTATATACCTTTCCTTGCTAAGTTCTCGGGTTTTTCCACTCACTAAGTGGCACGAACTGTGTGCATGCCTTTCTTGTCAGGCAGAATCCATCCCATGCCGGCCTTGGCACAAAGGCAGCGATCTTTTTGCCGTTCTTGATCAACTGCACACCTCGGCCACCAACGGATACCATCGGTTTGGTCGTCTTGCGCAGCATCAAGAGGCACTCGGCGCTGCAAGGAAACAGCTTCAAGCTGCGCTCAGACTTTTTCTAGTAGAAAGGTGCCAAGCCACGACAGCACTTTCGGATGGCAGAGTTGGGCCTGGGCAGACTCCAGGCTGCAGGTGCATGCCAAGAAGTATGCATTGCTTGCCGATGTCAACCTGTTGCAAAAAAGCAAGATTAAAAAAACTAGACGACGAGTGGCCCGGAAGCATAGAGGCAAGTTAGTTGTTAGCGATCAAGTAGTCTAGTCGCGACAAGCTGCACACAGACAAATTCCGCTTTTTGTCAGTAGCTCGAATATGGCACTAAAAGTTGAGGAATTTCACGCACTTCTCAGTGCAGGTTCTCCCTGCTCATCGCGATCTTGCCCACCATCATGTCGCGCGTGTAGATCGAGTGGCTCGGCATGTGGATCTCGATGATGCATACCATGCTTCGGGCGGCTCCAACATGAACAAACAGGCAGCAAGCAAACTACCGCGATGTTGTTTTTTTTGCCGCGCTAGCTTGAACCAACCACCAGGCGCGTGGCGCGGAAGGCGAGGCGGGGGAGAACCAACACCTGAGGCACCGTGGAGAAACCACCACCACCTGGGCGAAGCGAAACTGGAGCGAAGCTCCTGGACATGCAGGCAACTTACAAAGCGAGGTCTCAATGCAAATGCAGAAGTGTGGCACGGAGGTTGTTCAATCTGCTGATGTTGTCCGGCTTCACTCGGCTTCCCTTGGCTTCACTCGAGTGCAACAGCGTGCAGGCAGCACAACTGCTCAAGCATGTTATGTAGGTTGTTCAATCTGCTGATGTTGTCTGGCTTCACTCGGCTTCCCTCGGCTTCACTCGACAGGCAAACGTGGAGTCCACACTAAGCGCTCAAGCATGTCACGCAGGTTGCTCAATGTGCTGATGTTGTCTGGCAGCAGCGAGGAAGATCGCGAAGCGCATGTTAAAAGATACGGCGGCTGCATGCTGCGCGCGAAGCTGTGCGTGGCGCGGTGTGTGATGCTGCGCGCGATGCTGCGCATGACGTGGGTGTGACAAAACAAGACTAAAACATAACACAGCAATAAATAACACGCGCCACATGCCCAGGTGCTTGAGAGCCCCGCCGCGCGTCAAGCCGGAACATAGGAACTGCTCCGCAGCTAACTCTACGCGGCAAAGGGCGAGAATTGCTCCGCGCCAGCTTGAACCAACCACCAGGCGCGTGGCGCGGAAGGCGAGGCGGGGGAGAACCAACACCTGAGGCACCGTGGAGAAACCACCACCACCTGGGCGGAGCGAGACCGGAGCGAAGCTCCTGGACATGCAGGAAACTTACATAACGAGGTCTCAATGCAAACGCACAAGCGTGTCATGTAGGTTGCTCAATCTGCTGATGTTGTCCGGCTTCACTCGGCTTCCCTTGGCTTCCCTCGGCTTCACTCAAGTGCAACAGCGTGCAATGAGCACAAAAGCTCAAGCATGTCATGTAGGTTGTTCAATCTGCTGATGTTGTCCGGCCTCACTCGGCTTCCCTTGGCTTCCCTCGGCTTCACTCAAGTGCAACAGCGTTCAATGAGCACAAATGCTCAAGCATGTCATGTAGGTTGTTCAATCTGCTGGTGTTGTCCGGCTTCACTCGGCTTCCCTTGGCTTCACTCGAGTGCAACAGCGTGCAGGCAGCACAAATGCTCAAGCGTGTCATGTAGGTTGTTCAATCTGCTGATGTTGTCCGGCTTCACTCGGCTTCCCTCGGCTTCACTCAAGTGCAACAGCGTGCAATGAGCACAAAAGCTCAAGCATGTCACGTAGGTTGTTCAATCTGCTGATGTTGTCCGGCTTCACTCGGCTTCCCTTGGCTTCCCTCGGCTTCACTCAAGTGCAACAGCGTTCAATGAGCACAAATGCTCAAGCATGTCATGTAGGTTGTTCAATCTGCTGGTGTTGTCCGGCTTCCCTTGGCTTCCCTTGGCTTCACTCAAGTGCAACAGCGTTCAATGAGCACAAATGCTCAAGCTGCTGATGTGAGTTGTTCAATCTGCTGATGTTGTCCGGCTTCACTCGGCTTCCCTCGAAGAGCAAAACGTGGAGTCAGTGCAAGCGCTCAAGCGTGTCACGCAGGTTGGGCTTCGCAAAGAGCACGCCTTCCTGGTCGCGTTTCAAATGGTGTGAGAAAGGACTCGAAGCTACTACTACTACTAGGTCTCCTTCCGAATTTCCCAGCGTCCGCTTTTGACCTTGGAGGGAGTTTGCGCCACGAGGGCGTCAGCCGGACGCTTCGTCGCCGTGGTCTGCGCGGAGTCAGCCTGCAGCTCCACGACCAGGGAGCGCTCAGCAGCAAGGTTGTCCACTTGGCCCTCGTCCTTGACACGAAACATGCGCTCCACGACCATGGTGACCTTACCCGCTTTGTCTTCGCGAGTCAGCGCTCCGAGAAGTAGCCGGGGAGTCCCGTCGGACGTGCTGTACTGCAAGCACTGGGCAAAGCTGCACATGGCTTCCACGCAGAACTCTTCCTCTGCAACAGCCGCGTCGACAGGCACAACTTGGGCGTGCTGAATCAAGACGCGCTCGTCGCTCTGATCGCCACATCGACGCAGCTCGCCTGCGTCCTTTGCACGTGCCAGGATGGTCACAAAGGCCGGGAAGATCACTGCGCCGTTGACCTTGATGCCCATGCCGGAGTAGGACACGTCAGTGTACACGCTGCTAACCGGATACACGGCCCCTTCTGGCCTCGACCCGGCAAGGCGCAGCACCTTTTTGATCATGGGGCGGCTATGAGCATCGTAGGCCTTTCCCAAGCACGGCTGCGCCGCCAGGACCTGGAACTGACACTCTGTCGTGCTCGAAGCCTTGCTATCGGAGTCTTGAGAGTCCTGCTGGGTCGTAGCAGCAGTAGAGTCTGTCGCAGGCCGATACTTGTTCATGCTGGAGCTGGTGGCCAAGCGAATGTCCAGCTGAGTTCGAAAGCACAGCCCCTCGGGCCCCTCTTTGTCAAGGATACGCAGCAGTGCCTGCTTATCCTCAGCAGCCGACAAGTCACACAGCGCAGCTTCGCCAACGAGAACACGCTCCAAGCAGCCCGTGTGGTCAGCAATGTCCAAAGTTGCAAGGACAGCCACCTCGTCATTCGGCGTGGAAGCGCAGCCCTCAGCCTTCTTCTTGCAGGCCTGTGCGCTTGCATCAATTTTGGTGCGGCAGTGCTTACAAGGTGTATAGCTGGGGCTGCCATGCACGTTCGTCACCCAGATGCCATGCAGCACGACCTCCACAGCGGCCTCGGCTCGGTCTGTCAGCGCATGAGTTCTAGTCTAGCACTACAGGGCTGTCACCCAACTGCAGACAAGGGGCTCCAGGAGCTCGGTCCTGCATAGTCAAGGGGCAAGCAGCAACGGTCGCTGCGCAAGACACGTACTTCTCCGAGCCGTCCGTCTTCATTCGCAGCGCGCCGGCCTGCAGGCTCCACGGTGGAAATGGCGTGGCCCCTGTCGCAGTCGAGCTGCCGCAAGCGCTCGGCGCGCTCTCCCGCAACATCTGTGGTCAGGTGGCTGAAGCTGTGCTGGTCGGAGTCCAGGAAGTCCTCGCAAGAGCCTTCCACGGACCCATCGAGCTTCTTGTGCAAGAGGCAGTTGTCGATCTGAGCCAGCTGGCCTACCTTCATGTCTCTGGCCGCGCTCACCATCCGCGAGCCCCAGGCGCTGATGGCAATCTCCTCCTTCGATTCGTCTTTGAGCCAGAGCGTCGCCTTGGGCTTGGCAGTAGGAGCTATCTCTACGTGTGTGAGAAGTCCCACGATATCGGCTCGCACGGGTCCCTGACAGTGCGAAGTGCACAAGGACTGCAGGGCCATGGCCGTAGGATGGGCCGCAGCCACCGGCATGACGAACAGCCGAGCCGACAGTCGCCGAGTATCCAGCGAGCCACTTGGAATTCTGAACCACCAGCAAGCCGGCCACCATCGTGCAGCTGTGCGCCACGTGTGGCTGCATTTTTTTTTGAACTTCTTGCTCGTTGTTGCCAGTGACTTCCAGGAAAAGGCCATTCTGCTTTTTGTCTACCATGCGCAGGATGGCCTTGCAGAAGGGTTTTTTCCCTGGGAAGGAAAGCATCTTCACTACGTGATAGACCGTCCTCAGGCAGACCTTCATTTGCTTGTG